TAAAGATTATTTTACATCATAGGTATGAAGATGTTCACACTTGGTTAGGGGTATAGGTATCCTGCAGAATTTCTGAGCGTTGAAAATGTCTGAAGAATAAGAGAGTCTCCTCTATTTCACTTGTTTTTTGCCTGGACAAAAATAAATCAGTAACTGTGCTGCTTTGCATTTATAGGACACAGCAGTCATGGTTTGGCACAAAGCTAAGTAAAATCCAAATTCTTACAATGATCTGCTGTTTCTGAACACAGATGGACTGTCATACATTAGTGTAGCTGTCACGCTGTCTGCAGTGTCTCACCAGGAAACAGGGCAGACACCCCCAACTGGTGGTATAATTTATAATTAGATTTCACCATGCCAGTAACAAATTTGCACTCCTGGATCACTATACTAGTTTTACCATAAAGTCCCCTTAGACTCTCCGCCCATCCTGCCACACAGACAAACTGGACTTAGTGATAATGGTCACATAAACCAAAAATCACACCACATCAGCTTTCTCCCAGTCCCAAAGGACCAGTCACTTACCCCCAAATCAATTAGTACTCTGGATCTCACACTAAAGACAATGCTGGCAGCCAATTCTCTAGTAAACTAAAGGTTTATTAACCAAGAAAAAGAAATTAGAGTTATTGAGAGGTTAAAGCAGGTACGTTAACAGGTAAGTCAAGGTTTGTAAGTCCAAAATGGCAGCAGAAATTTAGTAATCTGCCAGTTTCCCCAAAGTCTTCTCCGGGCTACCCAGAATAACTTTGGGATCTCTGTTTTCTTGTTCAGTTATTCTGTCCTGTTAGAATCCAAACAGTCCAGAGCCAAAGGAGCTCTTTGAATCAGTACTTCTAGCTTCTTTTCACAGACAACAAGCTGACAAGTGTCTGTACTTACACAATGGTCAATTGCTTTGCATTTAGCACTCCTCTTCATTTCCATTTGATGAGTTATGTAATCAGAGGGATATACATAATGACTACCATTACATTATAATAGGAATAGATAAGTGAAAACAACACAAGTAATGTTCCATTAGTTTTCATGAAGTTCTGACACCTGAATACACTCTTACATTAACACACGCTATTAATTACCAGGCATGCATAATGTAAATATAATGTAATAGTAAACAACAGGCTAGAGATAGTGAAAACAATACAATTAACGTCTCCTTTGAGCTGTTATTAACACACAAGTGAATTGGCCTGAACATATACTAATACATTTAACTCCTTTGATATTCACATATAAATGAATTGGCCTATAGCGATGGCCTGAGCTGGTCTGTCCATGTGACAGTAGCTATTTAGAATGACATGCCAAAGATATAAGAAAGGAACAGGAGCCAAGAAACTAAGTTAAAAACAGATCCTTTGATTGCAGCAAGAATAAGAGATTCACATTGAACTAAATCAGACATAGCCTGATCATATCTTGCCATGCTTGCGTGTGTGTGTGTCTAGCATAAGCATACTTTGAAAACGATATTGAGCAACTATTCTTAAGTCTCTTAAAGGAGTAGCCTTTTAAAAATGCTTAGTTTACTTTGAACAGCTAATCAGATTATGTTTATAAACATGTTGGACTTTAAATGGAAACTGACAAAGCTCCCAGCAACAATGCTCCAGCTTCTGGCAAGTCTACATATCAGCTTCTTGCTTTAAATGAACCTGCCTGAGGATCCAATGTTAGGGCTTGTTGGGCTGCACAGGCCATATGGTCATTATAACTGTGGATAGACGTGGCCCAGGTTGTTTTGCCATGGGGACTATTTTTAAGCAGTTGTTGGGCACATTGAAGAGCTACTTAGGGATGGTCACGTAGCGTGGGTGGACACTCGTACGGATTGAATTAAGTCTGTGTGTTTGTAATATACAGTTAAGAATGAAGTTACAATTGCACAAAAGTTAAGACATTCAAAGTTAAGGTTCTCATAGCACCCTTACCTCTGTCTTTAACAGTCAGAAAAGTGGGTTGCCTCATATCAACAGAACACAGCATAACAAATATACTATATAGACTTTTGAGAAGAATTTGACAGGAAGGATTATAAATTCAATACCAAACTCGTAAGTCATATGTACAGATATAATTAATCTTTACTATGTGTCTTTCTCATACTAACCACTTACTGCTGATGTATGTGTGGACTCATCTCTTTAAGTGCTTGTGGTTTTGTCCGAACGTCAGTGCTTCAAGTGTGCTCTATTTGATATGTTCATCAGCACCAGAAGGGCATTTTATCCCGCATACTAGATACATCAGGCAGCAAACCAATGTCCTATGCATGCTTTTTTAAAACATTTGGAATGTTATTTCCAGACCACGTTTATTTAAACAAGGGAAACATTTTGATTCATCATGGCACAGGTGTGACGCTTAACGTTTAAAATAAAATTGATCTGTAATTGAGTGTAAAATATGCAGCTGAGAATTGTCTTAGTTGAAAAATAAAAAATGTTCCCACCCTAAAATAACTCAAAAACAGCACCAGGGATTTGTATTTAATTTTCCAAACACTGAGCATGAGAAATTTCAGCCCTCCCCACCCCCGCCCCAGGTCATTTCTGAAAGAGCTATAAGGAACTGGAAATTACAGAATAGCATGGAAGTGAAATCTCATTGGTAACCAGAGCATTACTGCCAAAGCGATAATAAACCCACAGCCACATACTATAAGCTAGTTTGTATTTCAGAGGTGTAATGACAGCAGCAGAAAGTTGAAATAATGACTGACCTAGCTTTAAATGCTGTTAAGTTGTATTTATAAAAAAAAAAAAAAAAGGCTAGCTCAATTTTATTAGGTCTAAAAAGTCAGTTTGTAGACGGTGCTAATTGGTCTTGTAATCCCATAGGCTTCCGTCAGTTAAAATAGTTTTGCTGCCATTTATGCGTAACCTGTATGCATGGGCAGTGCGTGACTCTTGCATTTGAGGAGGCTCGGCCTGAAGCTCCCTAGAAGTAGGGGCGGCCACCAGGGCCCAGACTGTGGTCCTGCCCCCTGCTCTGCCCCGAGGCCTGCCCCCGCTTTGCCTCCTCCCCATGAGGCCCTGCTCACACTCCATCTTAGGCCCCACTCCCGCTTGCCCCCCCCCCCCGCACCTGCCGCCTCTCTGCTCCCTCCCCCGATTGCTCCCCCCCGCCCACCATCCACACCTCTCTGTCTCTCAAGGGGAAAAGAGGTGGGAGCAGGGGGACATGGAGTTAATTGGCAAAGAAGCACGGGTGGGTGGGGGGTATAAGGGAATAGGTGGAGTGAGTGCAGGGCCTCGGGGGGGGAAGAGGCAGACAGGGGTGGGAAGAGGAGCAGTGTGGGCAGGGCTACCGGGGAAGAGCGGGCTGCAGGAGCGGGGTTTTGGAGCGAAACTTGGGCAAGGCCACAGGCGCCTTTTCGGCAGTGGTGCTCCAAAGGTGGCAGGCTAGTGGTGTGCCTCCAAAGGGAGGTGCGCCGCATCCTGTTTGTGGAGGCTTAGCCTCCCCTGGCCTATACCTGCTGCCCATGCCTACACGCTGCTTTCTATCTTAAAAGCTGTGTTTCAAACTCTGTTTTTGAAGTATTTAAAGGGCCTCTCTTTAACACCTATTACTACAAGTGTTGTTTTCAGTTGTTCCAGTATCCACCACTGCTATTAAATTAACATCTATATCTTACTGTCTTTCTCTCTCCCTTTGCTGTGATCACTTCCAGGCATTTAAGGGGCACTTCTCATTAGATTGGTGGTTTCCAAACTTTTTTTTGTTAAGCCCCTTTGGAGATTCATGTCCCCTGCATGCCCCTGCTCTTTCTAAGGAGGCCTGGGCTGGAAGGATGCAGTATCTGTGGGAGCACTGGGAGGAAGGTACGCACTATGAGGAAGTCGAAGAAGCCTTCCGTTCCCTACTGGAGCAGGAGAGGAGCAGAAGGCTGCATCCCATGAGCATCTGCCCTCTTCCAAGACAAAGTCCAGTTGAATTGGGCTTGTTTTTTTTGTTTGTTTAAAGCTGCTTTAATATTTTGAGGCGAAGGATTGTTTTATTTGGAGGTCGCTTACTTGGGTGGGGTTTTTTTTTTGGTTATAGGTGTCTTGAACACAAAGTTATAGTTTAAAAATGGCTGTAGGAGTATTTTTAGTGATTGACGGGAGGGTCAATGTACATGCGCATCTTCAGCATTTTAGAATCCTTCTATCCCTACTCTGTCAATTAAGAAAACACACCAAAATTTGTGAACTTTCTGGCCTGCCCACTGGACATAGCCTATGCTCCAATTTTTTGTCCCATACCAGGCTATGCTTCAACAGTTCAGCATCGGAATGTAACACAGTGAGGCAACAGAAACCACTGAGGATGGAGAGAGCGAGGATGATCTTTTTAACAGTGTAAGTACACGCAATTATTTTAATATTTTTATGGGTAACAATGTATGCAGCAAAACTAGAACTACTAAAAGAAAATGGCATTTGTATAAACATCCCCACTCCCCTCCCCCTGAAATGAAGTTTGTAAGATTAGTCCTTACAAAAAGAAAGGCTTTGGCTAACCTCCCCTATGCCTTGTCTCATACCATAAAGCCCGGGGTCTATCAGTGAAAGGCAACAACTGTAAAACCCATCAAAGGAACCAGCCTAATCCATGGCGCTCGCCCTCTGGCAAACAGCTTAGTTCAACTCAAACCCTGATCAGAGCTGCAGGTGCCCCGTCCCCCTTGCAAACGTGTGGGGCTGAGCGCCAGCCAGGCCCCTGCAGAAGAAGGGGATGGGCTCCACCTCTGATCACATCCATCCGCCTCCCCTCGGGAGGGTCCTTCATCTGCGCCACCCCTGTGCATCAGGGCACTTGGGCCCTGCCAGTCTGTGGCTGGGCCTTAAATCGGCCTCGATTGAGGCAACAGCCCTTGGCCCTGGCCCCCAGTGAGTGAGCCTGGCTCCCCCTGGGGTGCTGGGTTCCGCCCCCTAGCGTGAAGGAGCCAGAGAAGAGGAATCCTAGCTCCGCCCCCTACGGCTGGGGGCGGGGCGGCGGGTGGCTCCTCCCCCGAGCGCTCAGTGACGTAGGGGCCCTGTGGGCGAAGGGTCCGGTTGCGTCAGGACGTGCAGCCGCGGCGCGGGCCGGGCCGGGGCCGTTGGTCTCCATGGAGCGGAGGCTGGCGCAGTTCCGAGCCGCGCGCCGCGCCCCCCAACCCACAGCGGCCCCGGCAAAGGCGGTGGCGGCTCCAGCTAGCGAGCAGCGAGCAGGGCCGGAGGCCGCCCTCGGCCCGCGGGACCGCCCCGCCCAGGTGAGTGGGGGAGGGGGTTCGGGCCCAGACTTGCCCTGCCCCGCGCCGCCCTTCGCGGGGTGGCGCCGGGACCCCAGCGCTGCTGCCGGTGGCTCGTGCTCCTGGGGACCTCCAGCGGGGTGACCCGTGACCCCCGTGCCCGCCGCCGCGGGGGCGGGCGGTGTCTGGGAGGCCGCCGGGGGCGGGGTCGGGGTTGGGGTTCCGGAGGAGCGGGGCAGCCCGGCGCAGGGCCCCTCCCCCACACACCCCGCCTGCTCTTGCCCCTCAGGAAGCGGCGCGCAGGCCGGGACCCCCGCGGGACATGGCTGCTGGTGCCGCCGCCCCGTGGGGCGCCCGGGCCCTCCTGGCCCACACGGCCCTGCTGAAGTTCCTGCTGTGGCTGGTGCTGCTGGGGCTGGCCGCGGAGCTGCAGTTCGGGCTGCCCTGCTTCGTCCTGTCGCTGTTCTACTGGCTCTACGCCGGCACGCGCGGCCCCGGCGAGAGGCGGCCGGGGGAGAGAAGCGCCTACTCCGTCTTCAACCCGGGCTGCCAGCCCATCCAGGGCACGCTCACCGCGGAGCAGCTGGAGCGAGAGTTACACTACGGACCCGCGGCCGGGAGGTAGCGGCTGGCGCCAGGGACCTGGGGGCGCGCCTCCCGCTCCGGGAGCTGGCGCCACCTCAGGCTGCTTTGCCTGCGCTTCCCCTGTCCTGCCCCTGCTCGCTGCCCTGCCTTAGGCGCACTCCTCAAGCCAGGTGTGAACTGTATCCTCCTGGCACTTCAAAACCAACAGTTCTTCATGGACTGAGCGCATCCGAGTCAATGGGACAGTGCAGGGAACATGGACTATAATCCAGTTACTTCTGTGTTGTGGAGAAAGCTGAAGATCAAGAGGAAGCTGCAGGCATGTCCTATGGGCACCTGGCTGCAACAGCAAAGCAAATTCCCCAGGAAAAATGCTGAGTGGTATATATTGGGGAAAAATTCCAAATTACAGGACTGCAGAGTCCCCAGGGCCCTGATTGTAATGAATAGGGTATTTTACACCTCTGAGCTACATTCAGTTTATGGTTTCAAGGTTCTTTCTGCCAAAACCATATCTGTTTTTTAAATGAAAGTTGAAATTTGGGAACACAGTTTTGCAGCAAGGGGTAAGTTTAGCTGCTGGAGAATCTTATTTAGCTCTAGTGAGGCTTTTAATAGTATGATTAATAACTGTTTTTCCTCGCCCTTATCACTGTAATTGCACTTCGGCAGGCTGCTAGTCCTGCCATTTATAAAGAGATGATGGTGATAAATGAGGCAGAGAACTGGAGATGGTGAGGGAAAGTCAGCTGACTTGGAATCCATAATTTTCTCATAATATTCCTAATTATGCAGATTAAGGAATAAACTCTTCAACAGAAGAGGTATTGAGCCCAGCACCCCACAGGTCCTGTGAACTCCTTTATAATGCTGCATGGAGGATGGGTTATAGTCTGCACTCAGCCAAGTTAAGTTTACAGCCTGTAATGTAAGGTTTGATTTTCCATCTTCTTACTTAATCCTTATGGGAATGTGATCTATTGTAAAATAATTATCCTGCTTTAGAATCCTGTCCAAGGGTTTTTCCGGTTTCAAGGTAAAATGTAGGCTTCAGGAGATGAAAAATAATCATTAGAGCTTCAAACTCTGCCAAGACTGCCTACTTAATGAGCAGTGATCTCTTTATAGTTATTGAGCTGTTCACAGCTGTAGATGGGTGAGCTCTAATACAGGAAAAAATACAATGCTATTTTGTCCTGGTTATTAAATATGTATAATTAACTCCTAGTCCAAGAAACCATTTTGGTTTCTGGCTGGACAGACAACTTTTATCATCATTGGGTATTCAACTTGAATTGTTGGAGGTTCTTGCCTCTGGCAGATGCTGTACTTTAAACTGTGAGAGGTTTCTCTAGTACAAGTCTCCATGGAAGGGTTTACTCCACTAACCCATGCCATGGCTTTTCAATACTGACTAATGTTAGTAGGTTTTCCTCAAATGTATTGTATCATGATGGGATCATACCCATAAAAAAAAAATCAAATGTTTTTAGTGTGATTGTAATTTATTCCCTTTGTGTAATGATGATATATAAATGACACTTTGCAGTCCAAGTTACCAGCATGAAGTGGGAAGGGAATAGATAGTGAGATGCTCTCACTGACTTAATCAAAGTGAAAGGACAATATTAGTAAGGATATCAATCATACTTGATCTACTGAGGATCTTTATGCAGCTCTCCAGCTACTGCTTAGCCTTCTAGCTTCAGATGGTTTGCTTTGATAATTAAAGACTGAGGTACCACTAAAATTTCATGCAAATCTAATCAGTCTCTTAGAAAGAATTAAACACATACCAAGTAAAACATCTTTTCTGATTTGGACAGTCATCTGTTCAAAACACTAATTTAGATGCCCAGTCTGATTCTAGTGCGGGTCCTACTGTTCACCAGGTATTCTAATGGAGTAGCTGTTGCTATGAGGGCGATCAAGAAAGTTGCTAACACTGCAGAAGTAGAAGATGTTTTTTAGGCAGACTGCTTGAGGACATAAACTCTCAAATGATTTAGTATCCACTCCATAAAGGCTTTTCTGTTTCTTTTTGAGTGAATCATAACTTGTCACTTAAGTCTCCTTGAAAATATTCCACCAAGAACTGTAAAAAGTAGCCAGAAGAAACAAACCACACCCGTAACAACAGATTTATGTGTCAAGGGAATTACATTCCAAGGAGAAATAAGGAAACTACACATCCATTTAATGGGTACAGGGGGCATATATGGTCTACATATACATCTTCTATAGCTGCCTGTTTGTTTTTACATGCAAAGAAATCACATTCAAATACATATTAACATTTAAACATTCATGAAAGGAGTACATACTCTTTGTAGCAGCAGAAATAGGCAGAGTTTTCACTCACTAAAATTGCTATGTGTGCATTTAAAGTCTGGCTCCAAACACTTTGAAATAAATTATCACAGTGAGTGAGCATGTTGCTACAAGGCTCAAAAATACACATTCACAAATGCAGGTTAAAAAGATACTGCAAATTCTGAAGCATAGTTAGCAGTCAGACAGCAAAAGGATTTATTGAAGATGCTGATCAAATGTGTGAAAACTGTCTTCTAGGCCCTGTCTGAAAAATGTTTATTTTTTCCAAAGGCAGGATTGAATAAATTAGCCTAAATATTTTGACATGGTGGGTCACTGAGAACCAGGATTTTTTTTTAATCGTAATTTGTTTTACCAGCAGCTTCTCACAAAACTAACTTCATGTATCTGACCGCAGTGATTTTTTTTTTCTCTGAAAGATGATCTGCACAAGAGGTGAAGGATAGAGAACTTGTATTTTTCTTTACTACTTTATGGCAAATAAGAGGATGCTTGAAAGTTTCCTCCAAAATTAATTTTTCTTGTTTATGTTTTACCATAAAAGTATTAGGCATGCTTTCTGGTATTCCTGGGGTTTTTGGAGTGCTCCCTTTAATGGCAACAGGAAGAGAAGTGTCTGTGATACTTTCAACCCTTAATTGATGAAGCACATTTCTTCCAACTGTCTGTCATCCTTTTGCACTAAACACAAATCTCTGGACCCTTTCCAGTTTTGCTATGTATTTTTCAAGGCGGCTGACCAGCTCTTGAATTAGATCATGGCATTATAACATTTTTTACTACAATTTTTCTACCTACTCTGTAAATGTCCCAACTTTTTTTTTTAAATGGCTTCTGTACAATGTGCTCAAGTCTTCATTGAGCTGTCCATAATAATAGCCAAGTTTTGTCATGAGACATAACAGTTAAATTAGAACCCAGCCATGGCTGAGAGTAGGTAAATTATCCCTTTGACAAATGCAAGATACTGCACAGCTGATCATGAATTTTACCTATTGTGATGCTGCCCATTCACTGGTATCCTACAGCTTTGGCCTTCATGTCAATCCGTTCCTGTTTATCGAAGCACTTAAGCAAGCACTTTGTTGAATCAGAGCCTTTGTTAGGTCTCTAAGGTTCCTCACAGGGCTTTTAGAGTGGGTGATGAAAATAAGGCACGGTAGGCCTTCCATATGAGGAGAGATTCAAAACTAAACAATCCCCCACTTTTCAGAGAATTAAAATAAGAGGGGACATGACAGAGGTATACAGTAAGTAGAGTGGGTGCTTCTATTTACCCTTTCAATACAAGAGCAGTAACACAGAAAGGCAACAAATTTAAAACGGATAGTGAATAATTAATTTCTGACACTGATGCTCACAAGATACTATTGAGCTTTTATAGGAATAACCAATTACATTGGATAAGATTTTAAAAAAAGGTTTATATATCCTATTACCACATGATGTAAGCTAATACCTATGTGAAAGAAATTAGGAAGGGCTAGATTCACAAAGGTATAGTTAAGTGCCTAAATGGGAGACTTAGGTGCCTAAGGCCCAGTTTTGGTTCCAGTGCAAGCCACCAACACTGGCATACCTTCATTAGGTGCCTAAGGAACTTCTAACATGTACATACCAAAAGGTTCAGCCTCAGGGTGGGTATACTGCTGCTTCCTTCTAGGTGTCCAGATGCCTAACTCCCCAGCTAAGCACCAGAACAATTTACAAACCAAGGCAGGCAAATATCTGGCCAAATTAGTCGCATGCAGGGCCTGATTCAGTACATGTGCCAGAAGCTGCCTACCAGATCAGGTCCCATTCAGAATCTGAACAGGAAGAGCAGCCAAACTTATAACTTTTAGCCCAGTGGTTAGCATACTAACCTGGTATGTGGGAGACTCAGATTCAATTCCTCATCTGCTTGAAATAAAGAAAGCATTTAAATACGGGATCTCCCACACCTCTCAGGAGAATGCCCTAGTCAACTGAGCTAGGCTATATTCCAGTGTAGTGGGGTGAGGAAAAAGGGGATACAGATCCCTTGATTTCTTTGGTGGAAGCTGTTTCACTATGGATAAAGAATGTCATTGGAGTGGAGGGACTAGACTTTGGGTCTTCTACCACCTTAGGTGGATGTCTTAATTGCCAGGATACAGAGTCATTCTTCCAAGCTCTCTCATCACATCAATGACACTCATTTATCCCCAGCAGAACAGTTTTAACCAGAGACACCCTCCCTTGTCCCTACATGCCTGTCCCACAGCTAGTAGTTGGCTCATTCTCACAGGAAACACCTTAAGCACACCTAAACTGCCTGACTCCAGGAGAGGAGTTCTGCCTGTGGATCGCTAGCTGAGATAAGTGCCTCCCTGCAACCTAGACTTAGGTGCCTAAGAGTGAGAAGAGCAAGCGTTAGGCCACGCCCTTGTCATCAGCATCTATTAGATAGGCTGCTCCCTACCTGCTAACTTATTTATGAATTGCAGTCTGAGGTGCCTCTCTCACCCCATTCATTGTATAGCAAGCCTAAGCACCTAACTCTGCGAATCGCAGTGTCATTCCTACGTTTTTGTAGGCATCTAAAAGTAAGCTTTGTGAAGCTAACCTGAAGAAACTTCCCCTTTGGGGAAGTTATTCTTTAGTTGTTTGATATGAGGTTTCTTGCACTTTTATCTGGAGTATCTAGTATTGGCTTGTACTGGACCAGTGGTCTGATCTGACATAGTAATTCCTTTATCTTGACTAACCCAAACAATTGCATTACTGCAACATATTGTTACCACCTCTCTTTTTCAGCTCATGGGTGAATATATTAAACACAGGTCCGAACATGGAAACGTGTAGCATCCCACTGTTAACCTTTTATCATGGTGAAAATAGGGTCCATTCTCTTCTTTCAGGATGAGAATTCCCCATATGCATGTAAACAAATGTGTATTAATAAAGTACATACAAATTTGCATTATGTTAAAACGCATTTCAAAAATCTGTTAATCACAGGAAGTAACAGTCACTGTGTAAAGGGAGACAGTTGCAGCTCAACCTAAAACTTTTCTTGGAAATTTGCCATATTTTATTTTTTCACTGCATGGTTGTAGATGACTTAAATTACTGAATTATTTGGACATATAAAGAGAACTTATCAGCTATGGGTCTGAAACTTAAATATAGTTAAATCATAACAATTTGATTCATGTTCATTTATAAACTGCATGACAGGACTTGGTAAAATCTTCACCACAGTAGAGACCTCCACTTCCTTGAACTACTCCCACCTCAGGAAAAAGTCCAAGCAAATATATGGGCCTTCCAGCGTGTCCTGAGCTCAACAGACTCTGGTTTGCAGACAAGCAGAGGGAGAGAGAAAGCAGAGTCTAAGGGCTAGATTCACAAAGGACATAGGTGTCTAACTGCTACTTTAGGTCCCAATGGTATTCACAAACCAGCTGCTGTCTAAACTTGTAAGTGCCTAAATTCCCATAGTACCTACATTTCTACCGGTGAGCATGTGCAACCCCCCCCCCCCCCCAATCATGACACAGCTGAAATGCTTGACACTCTGGCTCATGCCTAATTCTGGTGGGATTCTCAAATTAGGTGCATGCCTACCAGTTGTTCAGGCCTTGCATAAAAAAGAGTCAACAGTTCAAAGCATTGTTGTGGCTGCCAGGCATATTTGTGTGTCATTATACTAAACAGACCAATGGACAAGGAGGTGGGAGACCCAGCTCTGAATCCCTGTTCTGCCTGATTGATTTGAAGCAAGGACTTGAATGCAGGTCTCCAATTTTGTAGGTACGTGTCCTAACCACAAGGCTGTTGGATATCCTGGGATAGGTCTCTCTCAATCTCTCCTGCTGAAGCTGTTCCATTTCATATTATTAATTAAATATTTATTGGAACAGAGTCTTAAAGCAGACTCTCCTATATGCCAGGAACATGGCTTAACCAACCTACAAATTCATTCTCTCACTTTTTCTTCCTCTCTGGCTCAATGAATATTTGAGTATTTATACACAGTGGAACCTCTTCAACCAGAGAGACAGAGGGTATGTCTACCCTAAAAACTTAAGTCAACCTATATTAGGTCGACTTACAACCACCTCAGTAATTACTGCAGTGGTGCACACTGCAAGTCCTCACCAGGAGCATTTTCATCGGCCTAAGAGGGCCAGTGCAGGGAGCTGAAAGCCTGGTCTCTCAGCTCCGCTGGCAGCTTCTTGCTGGGAGCCCAGCTACCCCACATGCTCCCAGGCTACTAATGGGCTGTGGGAGACCTAGAGTTGATTTCCCCCACCTGATGTGGAGTAGAGATTTGAATTTGAGTCTCCCACCCTGAGTACCCGAACCACTGAACTTGTCTTGTTGAAGCTGTTCCACTTTTTAAATAAATAGTCATTGAACCAAAGAGAAAATGACTCTGTAGCCCAGTGGCTAAGGCACTCTCCTGGGAAGTTGGAGACTCAGTTCCACAATTAGGCAGAGTGGACTTGAACCTGGGTCTCTAGCATCCTAGGAGCTCTAACCACTGCAATAAAGACTATGGGGGGGCTGGTTCTATTACTATTACTACTTTTCCCCTTGTGACTCTAGCTCAAAGATTGAGAAGGCCCTGCAGGACATTTACACCAGATAGGTATTAGGTTGAGTACCTTGGCTGAACTCCACTAGGAGTAAACAACATGAGAAGAGAGGGTAACTAGGAGTCAAAGTTTTGGTCTTAACCAATACAACCAAAGCTTATTTACACCCAAAGAGACAGAGAAATACCAATCAGAGTGGTATGTAGGGAGAGGAAGAGTATTTTGCGAGTAGTACAGTGTGAAATAAGTCATTAGACTATTTGAATCCTATAAACAGTAGGCCTGATCCTTTGGTCCTTACACAAAGTTCTCAGACTTCACTGGGCAGTTTGCCTGAATAAGGACCACAGGAGTAAGTCCTTTCACATTAAGTGCTGTAGCACTTCTGGTGAAGATGCTCTAAGCCGATGGGAGAGACGTCTCCTGTCAGCTTAGTTACTCCACCTCTGTAAGAGGCAGTAGCTATGTCAGCAGGAGAAGATCTGCTGCTGACATAGTGCTGTCTACATAGGAGGGGTGGGGGGTTAAGGTTGTTATAATAAATACGTTGTTCAGAGGTTTGATATGCCTGAGCAAGGTAGTTATACTGAAGTGTGTAGTGTAGCTCTAGCCCAAGCAACTGGGGCAAGGGGTATATAGCTTCTCTTAATCTTCTTATGTAGGCTCTGCCCTTCACAGTGCTGAGCGCACTCAGCTCCTGTAGATTTCAGCAGGAGTTGAGAGCAGTTAGCACTTTGAGTGGTCCTCTGGACTGGATTCACTCATTTTTAGAAAAAAACTTTTGAGTTTACATAAATATTTCCTTTCATCTTGCAACATTGTAAATGGTGACATTTTAAAGGCTCATTAAGAGTATACATTTAAATAGCTCCAGCACAGAAGAGAAAGTACAGCAGGGAGCTGTCCTCAGTGCTAAAAGTGTAGTTACCAAATAAACTCAAAGAACAATATTTTAGTTCCTGGCATCATGAGAAAAGAGCCTTGAAGATACATCATGCCAAAAGAAAACAAACAAGGCAAGAGACAAGGAAATTGAGAGAGTACATGAGCGAACTCCAAGAATTCTGTTATTTCAAAGTGAAGAAAATTTTGCAAGATGTGTAATGGCCACAGTATAACTTTTGCATGTTTGTACACCCAAGAAACGGAGCATACCATCCACAGAAAACATCCACGGTCAGCCACTTACTCTGAGGTGCAACTCATTACTTCCATCCATATTAATATTTGTGCAACCAACTGACAGTGCAGAGTGCTGTGTAAAAGATTAATGTTCAGGTGTTACACTATCAGCGTTAACCCAAAGAACCCATACTCATTAATGGGAGGATAGGCCCCTGATATACAAAGAACATACTTCTCCAAATGAAGCTTAAAAAAAAATAATCAGTAGTGTGCACATTACTGTTTCTAGTTATAGGCTTTATGAATGCCCCATATTTGCCCCTTCGCATCAAGCAGTGAAGCAGACCTCCAACCTTGATTTAGGGATGCTCTTTCCATTTAACTGTTGTGGCCCAGTGACTGTGCCACAAAGAAATATGTTCAAACTCCACTAATGTCTCTTTCTAAAAATAGTGAATATCAGCCTCACCTTTCCCAGTAAAAGTACAAACATGGTTTATTGTCAATAGTCATGTTCTGTATTCTTGTAATTTAATCAGTGGATCTCAGCTCGCCCACCTACAATAATAAGCCATTGACCCTGTGGTTTGTGACTGGATCAATGCACTGCTTAAGTTTTGGACACCTGGAGGCCTCGTGTATTAACAGGAACAAACTCTTAAAACTTACTTTAGACATGCTCAATTTATCTTCTGATGTGTTGATTACATTAGCAGACTGCTTTCCTTAGAAAGCCTTGTCCAGCTGCCTCCAGCAACGAGCAATAGAAGGTTAAGTCTCTGGGTCCAGCAAACATTTTTAAGCTGCGTGCCTGGGTATTTGAGGGTCTTCAGGTGCCTCCTACAGTTCAGTTTGGGCAATCTGTAGCAATCCTAGCTGAATGTGGCTTGGCAAGTGGCAGCATAGACACTGCTGCCCACTGTGCCGCCACTGCTGAGGCTGTTGGCTGGACATTTCAGTGGTTTCATACTGCTGTCTCTCTGGACATAAAAGTGTTCCAGTCTCCAGCGTTCCCAGCTTTTCCGAAACTCTGTCTGAACCTTACACGAGCAAAGGAGGAAACAAAGGCATTTAATAAGGAAATAATCAAGTCTTGAAATAATCCCATTTTGGGACAGGAAAAAATATAACGTATCACACTGAAGGACACTGGCAAGGTTTTAAGGCTCCCTTATTATTGCTTCAAATAGTCTCCCTAATTACCTTATTGGTCCATCACACCATTATTTCATAGGCAAAATAATGACAGCACTTACTCTTATCTCTATAAATAAACCTGTTTATGCTACGCAGCCAGCACCAGCAAGCCTAGTCTATATTACCTTGCTCCAAGCAGTGCTCAGCTGCAGTTCTGAAACTGTTCTAAATATGGTCTGGCCCTGTCCTTACTTGCAGTTAGTTTTTAGCACCAATTCAGCAGCAACTGTTGCACATACCCATTGTCAGCAATGAATACACTTTCCTAATGCAAACACAGCCAAAGTGTCCACAGTCTTGTCTACCCTTAAAGCGCCGCTGTAGCGCTTAATGAAGACTACCTATGCTGATGGGAGAGCGTCTTGCTTGGTGTAGGTACCGCACCTCCCTGAGAGGCAGTAGCTATGTCGAAGGGAGAAGTCCATTGTCGACACAGAGAGTTTGGTAGGTATAACAATGTGGATTTTCCACACCCCTGAGCAATGTAGTTATACTGACGTAAGTTTGTATTGTAAACCAGGAGCTAACTTTCCATCCTTGTTTTATGACTGCAAACACTTAAAGATCTGAGGCTACATTCATCCCTGTGTAATTCCATTGATTTAAGTGGTATTACATCTTGGATGAATTTGGACCTTTGGATTTTCAACATGTTCATTCCACAAGGCAAAGAAATAGCAACTATTTACTTCAGCAAACAGCAGGCTCAAGAATTGCATCATAAAGGATAAATTCAATAGAAACCCTAATCTGAGTTTTGCGCTTCCAATAGGTTCTTGACAACAATAGCGAGTTAAAGAAAAATGCCAGTGATGAAAAATACCTTGACCGTGTCCTTCCAAACAGCATTACACCAGATATTGAAGGACATTATACAGTACCTTTGATTATGCACTGCAGTTAAGCATAAAAATCTATCTGCATAAAATAAACCATTGTGTCTAGTACCTTCATACATCAGTTAATTGTCATATCTTAAATAGAAGCATGGGACCAGAATATGGCACATCCAGATGTGGAAGCTTAGCATGCATGAAACCCGCCATCCCATGTCCACTGTAATGGACTAGTTTTGACTAGTGTGTCTGAATGAGTCATGTTGTCCTCTAGTGCCTGGGCCACAGAGAGGATAAGAAACCTACTAGAGGGGTTAGTTAAAAAAGAGTTGTTCTCTGAGGTACCAATTGCACGTTAACTGAGTTTTTGGAACAAAAAGGCAATGGTTCTGCTTCCAAATTCCTCAAAATAAAGCAGAGACACTGTTTAAGGAAAACTGATGGGGGTCTCAGAGACTTTAAGGTCAGAAGGGATCATTATGATCTTCTAGTCTGACCTCCTGCACAAGGCAGGCCACAGAATCTCACCCACCCACTCCTGTAAGAAACCTCTGACCTATGTCTGAGCTATTGAAGTCCTCAACTCGTGGTTTAAAGACTTCAAGGTGCAGAGAATCCTCCAGCAAGTGGCCCATGTCCCAAGCTGCAGAGGAAGGCAAAAAAACCCCAGGGCCTCTGCCAATCTGCCCTGAAGGAAAATTCCTTCCTGACCCCAAATATGGCGATTAGCTAAACTTTGAGCATGTGGGCAAGACTCACCAGCCAGACACCCAGGAAAGAATTCTGTTGCAACTCAGATCCCACCCTATCTAGTGTCCCATCACAGGCCATTGAGCATATTTACTGCTAATTGTCAAAGATCAATTAATTGCCAAAATTAGGCTATCCCATCATATCATCCCCTCCATAAATTTATCAAGCTTAGTTTTGGAGCCAGATATGTCTTTTGCCTTCACTGCTGCCCTTGGAAGGCTATTTCAGAACTTTACTCCTCTGATGGTTAGAAACCTTCATCTAATTTCAAGTCTAAACTTCCTGATGGCCAGTTTATTTCCATTATATAACAAATGGAAGAAAGGGGAAGTTGATAGTAATGAATAATAAATCAGAAGCTAGGAATTGTAGAAAATCGCTAAGGAAAGCAAAGAAACACAAGGAGAAATCTACGGTCAGCATTGTTAAAAACATCCTTCTTATAGTCCTTAAATATATTAGGAACAAAAAGAATCCTAACAATGATATTGGTCCATTACTAGATGAAAATGATGCAGAAAAGTATCAACAATGATGCAGAAGTGTTCAATAAATATTTCTGTTCTGTATTTGAGGGGAAAAACACAATGTGATCGTACCATATAACACTGTTTCAATTTCACTAGTAGCTCAGGAGGATGTTAAACAGCAGCTACTAAAGTTAGATATTTAAAAATCAGCAGGTGTAGATAACTACATCCAAGAGTTTTAAAAGAGCTGTCCGAGGAGCATGCTGGACCATTAATGCTGACTTTCAATAAGTTTTGGAACACTGGGTTCCAGAAGACTGGAAGAAAGCTCATGTGCCAATATTTAAAAAGGGTAAACAGGACGCTCCAGATAATTATAGGTCTGTCGGACTGACATTGATCCTGGGCAAGATAACGGGGCCGCTGATATGAGACTCAATTAATAAAAAATTAAAGGACAGTAATACAATTAATGCCAAGCAACATGGGGTTATGGAAAAGAGATCACATCAAACAGTACCTGTAATGTTATCAAAAAATATATGATTGATAAAAGTAACAGTGTCAATGTAATATATCAAGACTTCTGTAAAGTGTATGACTTGGTGCCACAAGACATTTTGATTAAAAAACTAGAACGATATAAAGTTAACAAGCCACATATTAAATGGATTAAAAATAGGCTAACTGATAAGTTTCAAAATGTCATTGTAAAAGGTGAATGACCATTGAATAGTTGTATTTCTAGGGGATCCTGCAGGAATTTGTTCTTGGCCCTATGCTATTTAACATTTTTCTCAATAATGTTGAGGAAAACAAAATCATCACTGCTAAAGTTTGCAGATGACACAAAAATTGGGAAAGCTGCAAATAATGAAGAGGACAGGTCACAGACGCAGAGCAATCTGGATTGCTTGGTGAGCTGGGTGCAAGCAAACAATGTGCATTTTAATATGTCTAAATGTAAAACTACACATCTAGGAACAAAGAATGTAGATCATACTTACAGGATGGGAGACACTATCCAGGGAAGCAGTGACTGAAAAAGATTTGGGGGTCATGGCAGATAATCAGCTGACCATGAGCTCCCCAGTGTGACATTGGTCAAACGGGCTAATGTGATCCTTGAATGCGTAAAAAGGAATCTCAAGTAGGTGTAGACAGGTTATATTTGGCACTGGTGCAACCACTGCTGGAATCCTGCATTCAGTTCTGGTGTCCACAACTTCAAGAAAGATACTGATGAATTCCGAGAAGAGCCACAAGAATGATTAAAGTATTAGAAAATGTTCTCCATAGTTACAGATTCAAGGAGCTCAATCTATGTAGCTTAACAAAGAGAAGGTTTAGGGGTGACTTGATTACAGTCTTTAAGTAACTACATGGGAAACAAATATTTAACAATGGGCTCTTCAACTGAGCAGAGACAAGTACAACACAGTCGAATGGCTGGCAGTTGAAGCTAGACAAATTCAGATTGGAAATAAGGCATACATTTTTAACAGTGACAGAAATTAACCACTGGAACAATTTACCAATGGTCGTGGTGGATTCACCATCACTGACAATTTTTAAACCAAGACTGGATGTTTTTTTAAAAGATCTGCTCTGGGAATTGTTTTAGGGGAAGTTCTATGGCCTGTGTTATACAGGGGTTCAGACTAGATGATCACAGTGGTCCCTTTTGGCCTTGGAATCTATGAAAAGGTTGAATCAAAGAAACTCGCAGGACTCTGCCTGAAGCTAACCCTGAATTATGCAGCCTGAATCCTTTCCCATAGTCTGTGTGATGAGAAATCACCCTCTAATTTCCTCCAGTGGGTCATTACTGTATGCAGGAACCCTAGAACAAACCTGAACTGATAGAATTAATAGTTCGAGACCATTTTCGATTTCTTTTTCTGCAGTGGATGGTGATATGGCAAGCTGGAGCTGCTTTGGTGTCTCTCTTACCTCGTTGTTGATGAAGCAGTAGAGAATTGCCACCATGAGTCCCTGAAATCCACCAAGACAACAGAACAACAGTCAGAAAAACAGCCCACAGAAATGCTCCAAGTTTTGCTAGTCAAACCTGCAGGGGGAGGAGAATCTCATTCCAACATGGAATGCTCCATAGTTAGAGGAAGAAACAGAAAAGTGGATGAGAGTTTATTCCTCTCTGCTGAGAAAAATCTTGATGACATGACCCCAAACAGCTCCCACAGGACAAAAACGTTTTTAGGTTCTGCCAACCCTTGCGCCTTAAAACTCTGCCCTTTCCCTGACCATGGCCTATAATTACTCCATACATCAGCAATTCATGGGGACATTGAAATGCAGGCTGAAATGCCTGTGGGAAGTTTAGAAGAATAATGGTCACCCACCACAAATGGGGAAATTCCTATAAAAGAGGTCACGTGAGACAACAGCTGAAAAAGAATCATTACAGAATCCCCCATATCCTTTCTATCCATACTCCTTAACTACCTCCCCACATGCACAGTTATAGTCCTACAGATGTGCCTTTCAAGGGTCAGATTTCCAAAAAAGCATCGTAGAAGCCATATAATTTGCCCTGGGTGACACCATTATAGTTTCCCAGGAGACCATGGACAATTTTTGTTTTTAGGTTTTGCACATAAAACAGAAATTAACATGCAGATATAAGGGCCAGATCACTGCTGGAGATCTAGGAAGCACTAAAAAGGAGAGTGTGTGGCATGCCAGGACCAGGACTGGCCACCTGATTTTAGCACTCTGGCTACCCTACTTTTCCTAGGTTCATAATCCTCTAACATCAAGAGCTGAATTAGGAAAGAAATTTAGGGTACCTGCCATGAAAGAAACTGGTTTCCAGCAGCATTTAACATACAAACTGGGTTGAATGTGTGTTTCCTGGGTGTTACCTGGAAGGAGTTGAAGGACAGTTCACAAAAGAGCTTCACAAAGCGTAGCGTTCCTCTGGCGTGCTCATCAGTAACAAAGGCAAAGATGACCTCATGGGTCCCCAGCAGCGGGATCAGAGTCAATGTAGACTTGGCCAATCTAAAGTAATAAAGAAAGGGAAGTCATAGCAGGCAGTATAGCGGCTACTGATTTAGCACAGAAATCTGGAAGTTAGGACTCCTTAGTCTGTTTCTGACTCACGGAGTCATCGGGTGACCTCAGGCAAGTTATTTTACCACAGTGTGTCTGGAGTTTCCCCCATGGACAGCAGGGGGATGATGTTTCCACACGACAATATGGGGTTGTGAGGATTAATTCAATAATGTTTGCAAAGCACATTCAGATTGCTGGCTCAAAGGCACTGTAGGCATGCAGAATACTATAAATTCTATATACTATAAATTACTGTATAAAGTAATATACTATAGTATAGTATATTTATAGAATAGTAAATATACTATAAATTACTGTATAAAGAGGAGTGCTGACTACAGCGCTTCGAGATCACTGGACTGAAAGCGCCAGCAAAGGCCAAAGGATTATTGAGTATTCCTTAGCACTTACATAGCACATTACATCTTCAAAAACACTATAACTGTAAGTCACTGAGCTTTGTCAAATGAGAGACGTGAACGTAAAGTAAAAGGGAATGATTGCTGATGTTTTCAAGGCAAGCTCCAAAGATCAGGGACCTGGGTAGTGAGGGCAAAACCCAGTGCAAGAGCAATGAGCAGAGATATGAATACACAGGAGGAGAAGAATGCTTCCCAAAACAAAGGTTCTTAACACTGATGAGAGGAGTAAGGCACTGAGCAACACAACCTGGTAATGAAAGATGCCAGATCCCTAAGATGGGAATTCCTAGGCTGCCTGGGGCCAGAGAACCTGCTAACATGTTATCAGCATCTCGTGAGGAATTGTCATTTGCAGACAAGATGCAAGTTGTTCCTCCAGTAAATGGGAAGCAGAGGCTCCAATGGAGTCTCAAGGCTCTCAAAGTCTACTGAATGCAGGCTCTTGATTAGCTTGGCACCCTAGATGCTGTGTTTCAAAGTGATATGCAAGCAGAGAGATGGAGAACCAAAGCAGCTATTTACATCAGTGTGCACTTACAGGCAAGTGGGAGATGCAGGATCACCAATGGACCTAGGCAGGGGATTCCATGGAGTGGCTGAGAGGGTGGTTTAAAAAGGAAATCTGGCAGCCACACTTGCCTTGCAATTAGTGCTCTCCATTGCCACCTGAGGAAGCCAGGGTCAGCCTCTTGCTTCCTCATATAGCAGAAGCTCAACTTGCTCTGGGGACACTCATGGGGGAAAGGGAGAGGCACCTCGTGTGGCTGTGCAGAGCCCCTCTGGTTGGCATATCAACAGTGCTAATGGGTTCAGAAGGGAGTCCCAACATGGCTCTACTCAGAAGGTCTTGCAAAAGTGGGAGAAATACCCTTGTGGGGAATAAAGGGCCAGTCTCCCAAGATAAAATTCTCAGAGGCAGGCAAGAAGTTTCCCAACAACCTCAGCTCCTCCACACAGGAAAAGGGATTTGGTGCCATCAAGATCTCCATCAACAAGAGAGAAAGTACTGAGAGGGATAAGGAGAACCTATCCTGCCTGACACCAGCACAGATCGGCTCAATTGCTTTCCAAATACTCTTGAATCTAATCCAGTGCATTTCTAGGGCACCTAGCATTGGTGTATTTAACTACCAAACAACAGCTATAAAGAACACAGCAAAAGCTCGAGACCTTTCGAACTGCATCAATGCCTTTCACTCCCTCCCCACCTCCTCAGGAAACATCAGAAAGGAGAAGTTACCACTAACTTCTTGGAGAAGAGTGGAGAGGAATCCCTGGCCTCCAGTTTTGTTCTCATCACAGGAGCCAGCCTGATCTTTCTAGGCTCTTGGAGTGAAGATGGAACTTTTCAGGGCTCCCACCTAACAACTGTCAATGCCCTTCGAGCTGCAGGGATAGGCTACAGGACTTCAGTATTTCTGGGTGAAAAGGAGAGGATCTTTTGCCAGGCAAGTCTTCTCCTGTTAGAGTGAAACTCTGCTTATAGTGAAGCTTTTTGGGGTGTGTTGCCACAAAACCAACCACCACTCAGAGAGGGCTCCACTGTATCAAAGTTCAAGATTCATAAACCTCCCTATCATGGAGGGTCACAGAGGTTGTGATAGCGAGAGATAAAGTGGACCCATGTCCATCTTATCTCTCTCAACCCTCCAAAAGGAGCCCCCTTCTCCCATGCTGAGCACCAAATACCCATTAGACAGCCATTATTTCATGTGCAAAGACAGGCAGAGATTAGCGATTGCTATGGTGAATTTGTTATAACAGACAGAACAAAATGTGATTAACAATGGCAAGGTTTTAATGTTCCCTTGGTCCTAGACTTAGCTACCCATCATATCAACATTTAGAGAGTCCTCTGTAAGTGGAGGTGAGGGTCTTACGTTAAGGTGTCTGTGACATACCAGAGCAAATCCAGACTAGTGGGTCCTTGTTTTGGGCCCTTGAATCAAGGCATCATACTGTTCCACCAAAACATGACGACAGTGGGTCACAGGGTATTGTGATGACCCAAGCTGTCATGCACCAATGCAGTGTCACAATATGCACAGCATTAGGTGGGACAACTTTGTGTGTCGACCAAGATTCATCTGGGGGAAGGATCTTAAAGCCCCAAAGACAGAGAAATCAAGGGATGAAGAATATGCCCATGAATGTTGGTGGTGTGAACAGCTGTCTAGGTGAGCCACGAACAGTCCACATGCAACGAAGTCTGCAAGGTAAAAATTAAACTCATGCAGTAAGCCTCACATACTGTACCAGACAAAGAGTCACACAAATATGCTCAGAAAACTTAGGACACATAGGTCATGATAAGAGAGCACAGTAACTAGTGGAGATGGGAAGTAAGAGCAGTGATGGAAACAAGGACAACAGTGTTTTTCTCCCTGTTTCTTAAAAATAATTGCCTAATGGATTTTTTGTTTCAGTGCTCATGGTAAATTCTGGATTGACAGCCCCAGAAGACCAAGACCTCCATTTAATCCATAGAACAGGTACAACAAAGGCATTGATAGGGCAGGTTTACCATAAGCTCTGTACCCACCAGCGGGCTTCATCTGTGGTCAGTTGTTCTGGACTATCAGTTATGTGCAATGCCTCCTGCATACCACCCAGTGCCTGAAATCTTTAATCTCCTATGGCACGCCACTCCTGCTTGTGTCTCCCTTTTCAAAGGGCACAGCAAGTGCTAGCTCACCAAATAACTTACCTGCATTTTGTATCAGTTTTGCACATCAGATTTGCTTGCAGCTTGGAAATGATGATGCATATAACTCTGATAAAGATCAGGAAATTCACCTGGAGAAAAGAAAGAAGTAGCTGATATAATCATCAGGAAGTATATTTGCAAGACAAAACATATGGATGAACATATATTGTGTCAAGGTGTCTATAGACAGGGCCCTGTGTATTCCACGTTTCTGCAGCTGCAGAATTTGCTATGGAATTCAGCTCTTGCCACAGAATCATGCTCCAGAATCTGTTTCTAGCTTTTACGATTGGATAGTTCACTTTTAATAGGTAAATTGAGCATAAATCAAAGAGGTGATGCCTGCCTGAGTCTGCAGACAACTGGAATCAGGAGTCCTGAGTAGAATAAATGGTCCTATTCATCCCAATTGGTGCCCTGTGGTCTCCACAATTCTGTGACTCAGGAATCTAGCATTTTTTTAAAATACAATGGAATTTGTCATTTTGCTGTAGCCAGGTGTCTGGCATTGTTTTTTCTGCCAGAAACAGAATTGATTTCACATGATCATGTTTCTGAACTCAAGTGAGGACCAGGAACTCCCCAGTTTTCCTATAGGACAGTGGCCATCACCATTACATCTTTCATACGGACTTTCACATTCTGTCTCTACCATTAATTCATCCACCATGCAATCTCTCAGCTTTGGCTCCCAAACTCTCCTTGTAGTTTTCTCCCCATTATTACATGTGAAGAGCAGAGCTGCTGTATGATAGCTTTGTTAAGCAAAAGTATATTCTCCAGCATTGACTGCTCTGGTCTCTCCATCTGTCTCATTACATGTATGCTGAATCCCTGTATCTGCTCCTGGTCACTCACCCCAATGGCGATTAGAATGGGCAGTCTGATGATCAGCCAGTAATTCATGTTTTGGTTTCTGGTCCAGCAACTGGGGAGGCAGCAGAGAGGTGAAACACAAAACAAAAAGCTAAGACTATGCATGAAGTCTCTCCTCTCTCATCACGCGTCTCGGCAATGCAGATGATGAGAACTAGATACCAGAAAAGCACATCATGCTGACATGGAAACAGATGCTGCTACTTGTGGTTTTTAGAAACATTTGAATGCCTCATTCTAAATTACAGCACCCAACTGGATGCTGTTAGCCTGTCTCTCTTGCAATCTGATGACTAATCCCCCTACATAATTTTCTGTCATTGTGAAGATTTACAGAATTGAATCAACGGTCCAAATATGACATCTGGCTGAGCAAGAATTCGTTAAAAATCAAATATTTTGCCCACATGGTAACTACCCTAATCTTTCTATTCAACTTTTTTTATTAAATCTTATAAGTGCCGAAGTCAAATCTTGTTACTTGGCTGTTTATGAATATCCTATAGAACAGCGTTTCTCAAACTGGGATCCACAGGCTCTGCTGATCAACTCCTCTCCCTCCCTCAACTCCTTCTCCTCCTCCTTCTATCTCCCAGAGGCTACTGAAGCCAAACAGAGATTTTAGGCACTAACAGTCCAATGGCACAGCGGGGCTAAGGCAGGCTTCCTGCCTGCCCTGGCTCTGCATGGCTCCCAGAAGAGACCGGCACATCCCTGCAGCCCTTTGGGGGGGGGTGTCTCTGTGCCTGCCTGCACCCCAAGTGCCAACTCCACAGCTCCCATTGGCCAGGAATAGCAGCCAATGGGAGCTGCAGGAGCGGTGCCTGTGGGCAGGGGCAGTGTGCGGAAACCCCTTGAACACCCCCGCCTAGGAACCGCTGCCAGATAGATGTGCTGGTGGCTTTCGGAAGCTGCCCAAGGTAAGCGCCACCCAGCCAGAACCCACACCCCAACCCCCTGCCCAGAGCTCACACCCAAACTCCCTCCTAGAGCCCGCACCGCACATCCCATCCCTTACCCAAACTCCCTCCCAGAGCCCACATCCTGTCCCTCACCCAACCCCCTGCCCCAGGCTGGTGAAAGTAAGTGAGGGTGGGTGAGAGAAAGTGACGGAGGGCGGGGGGATGGAGTGAGGGCGGGGCCTGGGGCTGAGCATAGGTGGGGGACTTGGGGGTCCCTGAAAAAATTTAAATAAAAATGTGGGCCTTCGGGTTGCTAAAGTTTGAGAATTGCTGCTATAGAAGGGAACTGCATTGCGTTGGTCAGATTTCCAGCCTCTCTCTCACTTTCCCCCCACTCAGTGTTAAGATTAAGCATCTATATTTTAAAAGCACCTGTTCACTCACTCCAACTTGGGCTATTTAACGGAGATCAGGAAAAAGGGCATATCCAGTTCTTTCAATATGTATGTAGGTTTCAGTCCCAAAGAAATTTTAAAGAAAAAGTTATGAGCAAGTAGCATACAGGATTCCTAACATTTGCATAAACTGGAATTAATAACTTTATTAATCTCCTATCAAACCATTCAACATTATTCAAAGGCACCAGTTCTTATCAAACCCAACAGATGAAAATACGGTGTTAACAGGAGAACCACTTCACTGGCATGAGTGACTGGGAACCAACTTCATGTAGCCTTTAAAATTAATTTTATGTGGATACTTCTGAGACATGACTAGAAGCAGTTTTAATTTCTCTGAGTAGCTGCAGTAGAAACAGAGACAATTTTTAAAGTTCCTAGTGATGACAAAGACTGAGAAATGGTTCTTTACATTAGCTCTGCTACATTTATACATGCATTAATTGGTTTCCACAGCACAGATCAGCTTTAACTATTTTTAATTTTATACAACACCATTACAATGCAATTCGTGTACCAGCACAATTAAAGTGTCCAAAAAATAAAACTGACATCGGTACGTGATTTCTTGTCTATTTGTACTTTCTGGAGTTGTTACAGTAATAGAAACATCACCATCTATTGTGACCTGGATCTATTCACTGGCAACTGAGTATGCTCACTGCCTCTCAGACCATGTTTAGCAATTCCCAGAATTCGGTCCCTAGTGGGGAAGTCATCCAACTAACCAAATACCGCTGTAAAAACTCTGCTTTTTCATCCCAAGTTTGTATTCCTTTAAAAAAAAAAATCATCTTCGGTGCACTTCTGTCTTGGTTTGGTGCAACTGAACAGTCTGATTTAAAAAAAAAGCTGCAAACCAGTCCCTGCATTTTGCATCTGCAATTAACTGATAGTGCAGACGTGAGTGTGGGGGATGAATGTTAGTACCAGACTTGTGGGTGCATTCCTATAACTAAGAAACATAATCTGTCTTCACTTCCACCCATATATAATTGGACCGACAAAAATGGAGAGATAGATTTTAAAGAACTGGGGAGCTGAAAAGGTCTTCTTGTAATACATCAATTCTTTTTAATGAATGGCAGTTTTTAGGGGAACTTCACAGTTGAAGCCACAATTGTGGCAATCCTGGTCAGGCAGGAAGGAGACAGTTTGCAAGTAGACAACCTGTCCTTGCAGGCTACAATCCTTGATTCTGAGTGGTTACATTCTCAGGATTGCCTAGAACATTGAGCCATTGTAGCCCTGACCTTATTTATTTCTAGTTATGCCTCATAACTGGGGAGATAGTTGAGTCACAAATGAAATTTACAGCCTTCTGCACATCCACAGCGGCAGCACTATGGCAAATGGCATGAAAGATATCCCTAGACGCACTAACAAATGCCATCCCGAGGCCCGAGGCATAGAAATCTTGCCCTTCAGAGAGGAAACTGCACAAGGTGATTTATTACAGTATTTTACAAATATTTATACAAGATTTAGAAAACCTAATAAGATGCAAAATTGCCCCTTTTAGGGTCTGCTGAAGGCAGCAAGAAACAGTTTTCTTTAATAGAAATCATAAGTCAGCTCTGAGCACTGCATAATGCAGAAGGCTGAGGGAGAGCATTTTGAATACATTTTCCACACCAACGGAAAGATAGGCCTGTGGAGCGCCGACTGTTCAAGTTCTCTAAAGCTATAGTGATCATCTGGACAAAACTTGCAACAGATAAGCCAAGGTCTTACTTATTACAGAATATAGTTGAGACAGACCTGGACAGAACAGTCAGAAAACCCTAGGATTATTTTAGCCTGGAAAGAAGACTTGAGCAAACCATTTTGTATTATGAAAGACACAAATAAAAACTGATTCCTGATATCCCATCCTTTGATTACTCTGTCAAGGGGAGAGTTGATACAATGTTGGGCCCAACTACAGTGAATTTTCACACCATATTGGTACCTCGCTAGCAAAGGACTGTGTTTAAACAGGGTTTTCTAGGAAGGTGCCAGCAGGGTGTGTACGCTGAGTGGCAACAGGGCCCAATGGGTGGTAAACAGAATAAAAAATAAATAACGTAGAATTGTTTATCAGTGCAAAGGATGTTGGCCATGCATTACATTATTTCCATGCTCCCAGCCAGTCCCTATTAGAGGAAAGCTGCTACTAGCCTGTTGCTAGAAATAATTTTTGGTAAGATTAAATGATGCCACTGATTTTTCAAATCAGCCACTATGGTGAAAGTTAACAGAAAACAAGTATTTCAAGTTCTACAGCATTTCCTTATGCAATGCAGTCAACCTGTGCAATCCTCTGCAATGCAAGGACAGCCAGACAGAGAACATGGCTGTATTTTATAAAGGACTGAATAATGGAAGCTAAGAAAAGAATGGATAATCAGATCTCTGCTGCAAGGCATAAGACGATCACAACAAGGGTCAGGAAGGAATAACACAAACAGAGAACATTGTGGGAGGTTTTTGTCTTCCTCTGAAGAATCCTGGAGAGGCTACTGCCAGAGGCAGACTATCAAAGATAGTCTGATAAGGTATGACAACCTCTACAACAGATATGGTAGCTGCTGAAAAAGAGATACAAATGTACCTCTCTTTGACCTGCAGAGGAACAGATAAACTTAGACATATGGAAAATTCTGACCAGGAATGAGCTTGTGTGCCTTTCAGAAATGTTATGCAAGAGCATCATACACAACACAAGCAACTACATAGGATTTCAGCACATCAGCCATTGCCAAAGCAATCAAACCGAACAAAAGTGACCCCCCAACACACACGCACCACAAATGAAATATCAGCTAGATATTAGAACTGAACCAACCCCTCATCTTCATAAAGGTACTTGACAATTCCCCAGGGGATAACAAACAGCATTGGTACACCTGAGAAGAGAGGAGACAAGATAGATACTGACAATCAGAAACAAGGAAAAGCAAGAAGGACTAAAACATCATATGACTAAGAGCAACATAGCCAGCCAGTGACAGGGTTGCAGCTCCCATCCAGTGTACCTACCAAACACGGTTCCAGGTCAACAATGCTGCTAAGTTACCATCCTTTAGTGGCCTATATAAAATGAGTTAAGGGGATCAGTCTAGTTCCAAGTGGATAGGTGTTCATGTGACAAAAAACACCTCCAAAACTGGCACTAATTGAACCTCTTGTTGGCAGCTTTCATTGAATGGGCCATGGAGACCGAATTCGGGAGCTCCCGCTAGGTCACAGTGAGGGAGGAGTGGGAGGTGTTGTGTTGGGGAAGCTTGCAGTTCTGTTGTTATTCAAACTCAAGTCCATCAATCCAACATCCTTCACTTGCATTACGTTCGCCCACATTTAAATCTACACTTAAAAAGTGCATCTGTCAACTGATAGTGCTGGAAATGTCCAGAAACAATGCAAAGGGGGGAATGTTTCATTAGACAGAGCGGGATGAAACATTGTCCCAAGAACAAACAAGGTGTCACATTTCCATAATTTCTCTGTGAATCTGTCCCTCCCTGCACACCCTTTCAGGTTCTTTACCCACATTAGTGCCAAGTAAGATGGTGTACAATCCATGGAGTGTATTTAAAGGGATGTGTGGGGGGGGGGGGTGTGAAAGTAATAAAAGTGTTATGATCTTCAGTGGTCTGGAAATCTCAAAACAGTATCTGCAATGTGAATTATGCTGTAATAACTTTCAGTTGTGTTGTATTGTATTCTTTCACAGCCACCCAGGAGAGCAGGCTGTTACAAAGAGACAAAGGGTCAGTTATCCTCCCTCGTCAGTAAGGACAGAATGAGAAGTAACAGGCAGCAACAGCAAGGAAACTTTCTGAAGCGTTTTATAACTAATCATAAGGACAATGGAGTGAGCCAGTCAGGGGGAGGTTGCCAAATCACCATCACTGGAGGTATTCAATCCTCGGATCGTGCAGCCATCTATCAGAATGGGCTAGTGAGAACTGTCTATGTGGCCCCACAGTTTGGGCTACAGAGCACCTCCCAGACAACTGGGGGGTGAATTACAGTGTGCACTGAAGTGTTGTCCTGTAACTTCCCCTTATGGATGCTGCGGGCACAAACTCAAGATACCTGGTTTGCATTAATGTAGTCCTCTTCAAACAGGACTGCATTAATGTAAGCTAGGTACCTGTTCGTTTGCACGCACAGCATTCACATCGGGGAGTTACAGTGATGCACCCTAGTGTACGATGCAATTAACACTCACACCGTCCGAACTGCAGGGCCAGGTAGACAAGCTCCCAGTTGTGCTAGGACGCCTAGGAAGTGTCTTAGGCGACCCACTGCAGATCACTTTCAATCCCAAATGAGTCTTTGATTCATGGAAGCTATTAAATTAGACTGAATTTTTCCCTTCTTGACTTTGCAGGGAATTAAGGCTGGATTAAAAGTCACCCTAATATGAAATTTACAAGATGAAACATGAACACGATATATTTCAGGAAAGGAACAGATGTTTAGAGAGATAAGTGCTATGATTTGTGGAGATCTCCATAGCCTGGATACATCAGCAATCTCTCCATATTTAATTGCATTACTTGATTTTTTGATTCAGTGAGATTCAAATTATTAGTGATATATTTTAAAAGGGCCAAACTAGACAAAGCCTGTCATTACTGAACAACTTCAGTATTCTGATTAGAAAGTACTAAATGAATTAAGGGTAACATGGTGACAGGCGTCTCCTCCTCCCAGTTGCTATCCAGTGCCTGCGCTGCTACATCAGTCACGTCTCATGTCACTGCACTTTAATCCAAGGCCCTGAGATTTGACAGCATTGTGGAAATTTATGAGTTTTAATTGATATAGTCTGTACTGCGTGAATATACATGCAGCACCGACCAAACTTCAAAAGTTCTGTTCCAGGAGGTGCTAGGCTCAGTATATAATCTGGGACAGACTCTCAGGGTAGCGGGGCTATGAGGGATAGAGTCTCTTGTTCCAACGTCCTGGTCAGGAATCTAGTCAGGGTATGTCCCCACGACATTACTTAATCCACATAAATCCTGTTTACAATGGACTGTATAATCTGAAGTAATGTCTCTCGTGATTTATAGCACAAAAAAACAGCAATGTCTCCAGCATCTCCGAAAGGATTTAGTTTTCAAAGATCACAAAGGCTTTGTCTGGTCAAGAGTTTGTGATCCTGGTCTTGATTGCTAATTAACTTGAGTTAATTTACATGATTGTGAATGTTAGTCTAGACACACCCCAAGCATGCGTGGTTTGCTCTAAGACTCAGTCTAGGGTAACTTTTGTGTACTGTACCAAGAAAGCATGTTCATAGGAGGGAACCATAACTTCACATGATTTAGAAACCTCTACCCAATGGAGAGGTTTTCCTTGTCAAACAAGCCCATAATGTATTTTGGTGTATGTACAGTGGTTTGGCTAGACTAAGAAAAGATGTCAAAGTGAGTTCAGGGTTTGGTAATGTATTAACACAGGGAACATATCTTTTTCTCCCTCTCCTTCCCCCCCCCCCCATATCCATTGGGATCAGGGATCTAAAAATTGCAGATCTTTAATTCTATCCACACATTTCTAAGATTATATGCATCACAGTACGCCATGACAGCAAATCAACATTTACCAACCATCTATTCTCAATTCAGAGGAAAAACTATGGTATCTCTAATGTTATGACTTTTTAAGTGGCAGCCACAGGATAAGATGACAGCAAATTATATTAAAATGGAGATAACAAGGTCAATGGTATCTTTTATTAGATTCATGGTTACACTTTACATTGACATCTGCATTGCTACAGACAAAAGTTTTTCTCCCAAAATAGACCTCATAATTTAACCACATTTGACACAGTTAATTTTTCTTTCTGAACTGTTTCCATCAATTTGGTGCTCATGAAACAGGGGTTTATAGCATGGGGTTGAGTATTATTGTTATTTATTTATATTACCAGGTAGCCTAGGAACCCCAGTAATAGATCAGGTGCCATTGTGCTAAGCGCTTTAAGCTATGAAAGTTTCTTACGCACACTTCCACCAATCCACTTTCAGCCTGACGTTCCCACCCACCCCAGCTATTCTATTCCTGGGCTCCACACACAGTTTTGCCATAGCACCTCATCCCTGGCCATCCCTGGTCAGTGTAGGCATGCCCTTAATCTAAAACAAAGGCCCTTCTGATACAAAAGTTTCCAATTACTCTGGGTAGAGAAAAAACAACCACCGGTGGCTGAGAGTTTCAAACTCAACCAGGGGATTTAGACACACACAAAACTTCAATGTGTCTCAATCCCCATATCTGTTTGGAAAGTCTGAAGCAACAAGAGGAATGGTCCAAAACGCAGCAGCTTGCAACAGCGGTATGTACCGCAGGGCTTGCGGCCACTAGTGTAGAATGCTGCAGTATTTTTAGTAAGGCTCTTGATATCCCTGGTTCTAACAAAGACTTTTACTTGAAGAAGCAAGTTAAAAAGGAAATGGCTAATGGAACGAACACATCTAATTGCTACACCGAGTCTATACAAGACTTTGAAAGAAAGTGTTCTTCCTGGATCTTCCTTGCAATCTGGCTTTAGACACTGATAGCTTCATTCCTACAGCTCTTTCTTCCTTGGAGGAGGTTTGGGCTGTCAGTTTTTCTGGTTGGCAGCTTCCCGCTGTGAGCACAGCTGGGTGTAAAATTGCTGTAGGAGCTCAGAGAATCGGTCTGGCTTTTTATTAATATATTCCTGTTAGTCTTGAGTGCGGCTCATTGCCCAGTTGTGTCATTCTCCCTGCACACTGCAATTGTGGGATGTTGCTCAAACATCATTTTCCTCCTCTTCAGAATGTAAAAAGTTCCCTGTTCTAGTAGCTGCTGGTGGGCGTATGGATGGGTTGAAGTGTAATCTGCTGTTCTCATAGACTAGACTATTTTATACAGTGCTGATGTAGTTAGTTGGGGTGAGTTGGGTTCAGTGCTGGCTCTCTCAGACTCGGACTAAAACAACAATGCCTTGCTGCCTTAAATGCTGTAACTAGGAATAATCTATGTATTTTAAGAAACAAAAAACACCAATGTCTTATCACCATGACCACTTTACATGTGGTGTTCCTTTCCCCCTGCATTCCATGTCTGTTTTGTCTCTTGTGGAGCAAGAGTGCTTTGGGGCTCTAACATCTGTGGAGCATCCAGCTCATTGTGGGCAGTATAAGAAATAAATAGCAACAACATTCTCTTTTCCACTGCAAATGAGCCCACTCCTTCTGAGTCAATATTCTGCTTAGCTACTCTAGACTGAAGGGAGTAAACTCATCTACCTGCCCTGCCATTTGCCCAATATGGCCTCTTTTGTTGTTGCCACTGTTTCTGTTCTGGATACAGTATAATTTTCCTAGCAGCTTTGCAAATGCTGGCAACAAGGGAAGATGTGGGCTTTGGTTTACATAGCATGCACAATACATTACATCCGTGCCTGTGTGAAATCACAAAACCTTTTGCACAACTCAGACTGTAAGCCCGTTGGGGTCAGGACTGTCTTTTGTTTTGTGTTTGTACAGCACCATGTTCTGGTCCATGACTGGGGCTCCTTGGTGCTAAGGTAACCCGGATAATAATAATTCTTCGAAACAAGCAAAAATATAACACTGCCCTCTCCACATATTCCACTTTCCCCAATATTTTCTACAAGGATGTAGCCAGAAAAAAATGGAGATTCCTGACCAAAAAATCCAGGGTTGCTTGTGGAATCCTGTGAATATAAAACAGATGTTCACATAAATGACTCCTGATTTGTGAAACGGGGTGAAATTTTGCCCTACATTAATTTACTTACATCATTCAGGAAAGGTTTTTACATTTTTTCCAGTTTTGCTACATGGGTATTTCTTTTATAAAAATAAACTGAACAGAATTTTTAAAAATCAATTATTTATTTCTACTGCAAAAGAAAAATAAACTCAAATGTGCATTGACGTGAATGGAGTACATCCTAATAAATAGAAATAGTAACAATAATAATCCATCTACATAATAGTCAATTATTAATCTTTAGCTAAAATGTACTTGGAAAATTCTTTTAAAATATTTTGTAATTTAGCATTTTACTCCGTTATATGTTAATGTTGCCAAGAGACACAACAGAGAAACACCCCAATGAGACCGCTTTCCAAATGGGGTGAAAAAAAAAGCAGTTTCACCCCCCCCAGGTTTTGAACAGAAACTAAACGAACATGGTAGTTTTGATTTAACAACCACCTCTTTATATTATCACCCAGAAATTGCATGGGTTTCAAATCATCCTCGCTGACTCATGTCAGTACATCTCTGGGAACAACGTGTGTGTGTTAGCTGCTGCTGCCCACCTTATGACAAATTTTAACAAAGCTCAGCATTTAGGCCTAAAATCTGGGGCAGATTCACTACAACCATTTACACTAGCTGAGGATTGGCCCCTAAATTGCCAGTCAAATTTATTTTCATATGCGTGAGGATGAATTTGGCCTAGCCTATTTAGCTCTTACTTGTTCTGTGACTTCATGCACAGCACCTGCCAAGCACAACAACTACAGCAGGGTAAATGCTGCAAAAACGAGTATTTGCAAACATTCAGGGGAACGAAACCAGCAAGCTGGATACAGTGGTTGCTCATAAACACTCCAATGGTTCTGTTCCTGTGGATGTCTGGGAGAAGCTCAAACCCATATACATGTGATCACACATAGAAAAATTAGTGTTATCCAACCAGGAAGCAGAAACAATACCGTGAGGCTTCTGTGACCAATCAAATGGCTCAATTATAACAAAAGAAAAGGGAGAAGTAGTTAATAAACAAATATTCATAACAAACTGAAATTTGATGTAAAAACATTTATTGAACAATAGCAAGTGGTGAACAAATTAGTGGAAGTCAAATCAATTATTCAGCCAGCTCTGGTAAAAACCAGCTTTATCAGGTGTGATTCATCATATGCAATGGGCACTGTACTGCTAGATAATGGCAACCTTTGAGATCTTTGTCCTCAAGGCCTTTGCCTGTCCATGACCCATGTCCATAACTTCCCATTGTTAGATGAATGACATGAGGGACTAGCAACTGAACACGTCACTTCTGTGTTTTGTTTTTTTTTCAATCCACTAATTCCTTTCTGTCGCTAGGGTGATCTTTTAACAACTGAAACTATTTCAAGCTACAGAACTCTTTCACCTAGAACAGGAGCATCTTGTTTCGTTGGAGCAAACATGAACATTACATTGAGAAAAATCAGTCTATTCAGAAGACCTTCTGAGCATTCATGGCATAAAGAGATCTGAACCAGGGTTACATATTCACGAAAAAAGAATAATGAGCAAGACAGAGAGACAGGAAGAAAAGCTATTCTTACTTCATTTTGCCAGTAGTTACATTCACAATCATTAAGTCTGATGTAGGAACGAGTTATGAACACTTTTGAGGGCACTTCCCAGGATAGGAGTCGTAGAGGCTGCTGTATTTGAGAATGAAGGTGCATTGGCAGTGTTTTGTGCAAGTACTCAGGGTTGGAATAGTAAGGGACTTCGCAGGTCAGGAGTCAACAGTACTGGCAGGAAGTGTGGATGATGCCTAGACATTGCATGCCAGACTCTGGCATTGCCAGTCATTTTCACAAACTCAAAAATTAAATAAATTGACAGTAGTAAAACTTGAAAGATGAGGGAGAACAAACAGGACTGTGTCATTTTTCTTCATCATTTTCATCTTTTGTTCTTACCAGAGGCTGAACTTTTTCGGACAAAATACCACCCCTCTCCACTATTTCTTATACAGGAATTTTGCGGAATATAATTTTGTTTTTATTTCTGTTCTGTTTTGCTCCCTGGTGAGTTGGATGCCTTATAAGTTTTATGAGGGGCAGGACTGCTCATAGGATTTGAGCTATGTATGATTTTAATAATGATTACACAGCATGTAGCTGCTGTTGCTATGCACACTAAGATGATAGAGAAAGGGTTACAGCAGCACTTTTTTGGCTAGCACATTCCAGCAGAGATTTGTTATTCCTCATATTTATTTATTCCCATTAACACATCAGAACTCTTTCACCATTCATATCTCACTACGTATTCAATACAGGTGAGTTAGTAATTTGCAATGGATCATTTATATGAATTTTACCAGTAAACATATTTGCTAGCATATTCACAGAAGGCAAATGCAGAAAATGGGGAAGAACAGTGTCTTTCAACAGCAGTTGTGGGAGCAAACAACCTAATTAGTTTTCAGATGGAGCTTGATAAATTTATGAACAGGAGTACATGATGGGGCTGCTTGTGATAGCAGAGGACTGGACTGGACTCAGTAACCCAGGAGATCCCTTCCAGTTCTTTGTTCCTATGTAATACAATCAAAGCTGTTGATAAATTGGAGACGATTCACAGAAGAGCCACAAGAATGGTTAAAGGATTAGAAAACATGCCTTACCAGTGCCAGACAAAAGGAGCTCAATCTATTTAACAAAAAGAAGCTTAGTTGGAGAGAGAAAGATTCAGAGCTTTAGCATTTCTACTACAGACAGCTCGGACTCAAGGGACTGAAACTTATCCAACCCATCACAACCCCTAATCTCTCACGCACATGCACAATAGTCACTGAACATTCCATCGCTCTCCAGAAGATAACCAATTGTTCTGCCCATACGATAGAGCTGACCTATCATTACCTTCATTTCGCAGCCCCAGTAATATTCCACATAGCTCATGCAATCAAAATCTATAACCCTGCGTTGTACGTACAAGGAAATACACTCATTTGCACCCAGGAGTGGCTAGCATTTCCTCCTGTAGGTGCTGCTGTTTTCAGATGACAAACAGCTGTTATGTAAAGTGAGATGCTTGATATGAGGGCTATTCTTGGATTGCCCTGTTCCATTTTATTACACTTATATAGCGCAAAGGTCTTTCACATCAGGAAAGTGATCAGGAACAGCCAGCATGGATTCACCAAGGGAAGGTCATGCCTGACTAATCTAATCGCCTTTTATGATGAGATTACTGGTTCTGTGGATGAAGGGAAAGCAGTGGATGTATTGTTTCTTGACTTTAGCAAAGCTTTTGACACGGTCTCCCACAGTATTCTTGTCAGCAAGTTAAGGAAGTATGGGCTGGATGAATGCACTATAAGGTGGGTAGAAAGCTGGCTAGATTGTCGGGCTCAACGGGTAGTGATCAATGGCTCCATATCTAGTTGGCAGCCGGTATCAAGTGGAGTACCCCCAGGGTCGGTCCTGGGGCCGGTTTTGTTCAATATCTTCATAAATGATCTGGAGGATGGTGTGGATTGCACTCTCAGCAAATTTGCGGATGATACTAAACTGGGAGGAGTGGTAGATACGCTGGAGGGGAGGGATAGGATACAGAAAGACCTAGACAAATTGGAGGATTGGGCCAAAAGAAATCTGAGGAGGTTCAATAAGGATAAGTGCAGGGTCCTGCACTTAGGACGGAAGAACCCAATGCACAGCTACAGACTAGGGACCGAATGGCTAGGCAGCAGTTCTGCGGAAAAGGACCTAGGGGTGACAGTGGACGAGAAGCTGGATATGAGTCAGCAGTGTGCCCTTGTTGCCAAGAAGGCCAATGGCATTTTGGGATGTATAGGTAGGGGCATAGCGAGCAGATCGAGGGACGTGATCGTTCCCCTCTATTCGACATTGGTGAGGCCTCATCTGGAGTACTGTGTCCAGTTTTGGGCCCCACACTTCAAGAAGGATGTGGATAAATTGGAGAGAGTCCAGCGAAGGGCAACAAAAATGATTAGGGGACTGGAACACATGAGTTATGAGGAGAGGCTGAGGGAGCTGGGATTGTTTAGTCTGCAGAAGAGAAGAATGAGGGGGGATTTGATAGCTGCTTTCAACTACCTGAAAGGGGGTTCCAAAGAGGATGGCTCTAGACTGTTCTCAATGGTAGCAGATGAAAGAACGAGGAGTAATGGTCTCAAGTTGCAGTGGGGGAGGTTTAGATTGGATATTAGGAAAAACTTTTTCACTAAGAGGGTGGTGAAACACTGGAATGTGTTACCTAGGGAGGTGGTAGAATCTCCTTCCTTAGAGGTTTTTAAGGTCAGGCTTGACAAAGCCCTGGCTGGGATGATTTAACTGGGAATTGGTCCTGCTTTGAGCAGGGGGTTGGACTAGATGACCTTCTGGGGTCCCTTCCAACCCTGATATTCTATGATTCTATGATCAAGCAACTAACATACAGTGGTAAAGCACTGTGTGCCCGTCATCCAGTTTACAGAAGTTTGTGGGTGTTAGTATATTTTGCAGGGTCTCGGTGAGTTTATGGAGTTATACAGATGTCCCATGGAGCCTAATGTATGCATTTAGGCAATTTATACATAGTCATTGTTTTCAGCTAAAGGCTCTCATATAAGAAACTAAAATAGCATAATATCTATAAAGGATTTTAAAAGCATTGGGTCAGATATTAAGAACAGAAAAGGAACGGGAAGCAGGACTTGAATTCAACAGTTACAGAAGAGAATATGCTTAAACAGACAGCTTTTCCTATTTCACCTGTCCCAAAGTATGAGATAGGATAGTCACCACAGTGACTGTGCAGGCAAATGCACTGTGCAGGCAAATGCACTCAGCAACCTGTAAATAATATGAGAAAAAACACGAGACTGACTTACCCCAGCCAATGCAGAGATAAAGCCGAAAAATTCTCTGTTCAGAAAAGACCGACAGGACCAGCAGTGTGTACAGGTACATGCCTTCCACCAACAGCCAGTAGTAGTTTGCAGCCACACAATACTGCATCATCACAAAAACCAGGCGGCAGCTGAGTGACTCCTGAGAGAGCAGAAAATACAGGTCAGTGAATGTAGCAGAGGTGGTGAAAAAGGGAGACAAAAAAAACCCCCACAGAAGTTCTAGTAACACAAACAGAAGAACAGGATTAACTGTACGCCCCTCTTACCAGTCAAAAAATATCTCGACTAAACAGATCACACCTAACCATTGGGATAACAAAGGATCAGCTACTGTACTTCAAAAACACAGCAGAGAACTGTATAAAAGAACATTTTCCCTTGTTTCTTTACACATCTACTGCTCTGTATATTCCCCCGTGTACACCTTAAGTGGTAGTTTGCCTGTACAGTATAGGAGGAGAAGGTAAGAGAAGAGAAGAGTAGCTACAAGATCGTCTCCAGTTACTGAAATTAGCCAATGAAAAATTTCAGGTCCACAGATACTGTATTCTACAGACAAGAACTCCACTACTCCAGAACACACAGTTGATGCCACAATGCTGCCAATTCTTCGAAGGCAAGTGATGTGTGATACCAGAGCAGTATTGCCCTGATGCATCATATCTGACTGCAAAACCCTCCTGGCCATTTCTCTGAATTTTACAAGCAATCAGGAATCTAAACAAATACAATTAACTAATTCATTTGCCCATCAAATCATGAAACAAATCTGAACTACACAGCACCATTTACACACTATGCAGAAGTACTCAGCCCTCCCTGCTTGACAGAAGGGACTGACTGACAATCCAGGAGGTCATTGCCAATCCTCACATTTATGATTTTATATCAGCTTGTGGATGCACCCTGAAGTCTGCATGTTACAAGAAACTGATCATCATGTGGAATGCACCCATCTGGTCCCAACAGGTGATCCCCTTTCAGTGGAAGGTGAAAAATGCCTAAGGTTCCTATCACAGTGCTCAAAGACAGATTAAAAAGCCTTCCTGATTTTTACATTTTCCAGTGACTTTAACCCCCTGCATATCACATAGAATCACAGCAGATAAGTATCTACTCCCATTTAAATTTCCAAATCACTGTCTCCCACAACTTGGTTACATTTTACATACCAGCACTCAAGGGGGGAGAGAAAGCAGTTCTCTGGTTTCACCATCGTCACCGAATATTTGCATACTTTCTATCTTCAGACTAAAGACTAAGTGACATGTTACTGTAGAGCTCCTTTCAGATTTGGACTTGCATTCAAATCAAATCACCATAGTTAGCAGGACTATAAAGTACCCCAAGAATGACCAGCTCACTGGATCACCTGACTGGCTGGACAATGTCACCTGTTGCAGTGGAACATCTGTCAGAATATTTTGTTGTCATGACTGGAAATGGCGAGTGTGTAGTGAGGGGGAGAGGTATTAAGCATTTACCAACATGCAGGGGGAAAAAAACCCCTTCTCTTGATGTTTTCTTTGCCCCATGGGGACAAACCTCCAGTAGGACAAGAAACAATGGGGTAGCAGGTTTCAGGGTAGCAGCCGTGTTAGTCTATATCCACAAAAAGAAAAGGAGTACTTGTGGCACCTGAGAGACTAACATTTATTTGAGCATAAGCTTTCGTGAGCTACAGCTCACTTCATCGAATGTAGCTCACGAAAGCTTACGCTCAAATAAATTTGTTAGTCTCTCAGGTGCCACAAGTACTCCTTTTCTTTTAAATGGGGTAGCAGTTATTCATAGGTAACAAAACTGGGATTGCATGACTAGAACTGTATAAAGTGTGCCAAGGGATTCAAAGGAAAACCCTGTGGAAGTGAAGAAAATATTTTGGACAAACCCCAGTAGAAAGTGAAACTGCAGAGTTTCATGCAGCTGATGGACCACTGACCTCAGAAGCAGCATGACTCCTGCCCCCCTACCTGGTAGGAGATGAGTCCTTCCCACTGGTGCTCAGGCGTAGCTGTTTTGTACATCCACTTCACCACAGAGTCCTTAATGAAGACAGATACAGCACGTAGGATAAAAGAAGTGAAGAGATTCAGGTGAATGTAATTCCTAGTGCAGTGCAGATGCCTGTAAGAAAAAAGCAAAGCTTGAGTCAGTGAGTGCGTGTAGGCTGCAATGATACCATGAGTATCAATGAGAGTGAAATTGATAGATTCTTTTCAAAATCAGTGGATACCCATTCAGATGAGTCACTGGAAACTCATTACTTGCGAATGGCTGTGGGGATCTGAAACTCTCTGTAAGAAATATTCATCTTTAGGCAGAAACCTGACCTGGAAAATTTCCGCCCAAAAAGTTAATATTTCAGAAAAATAATTGGAGTGTGTGAAAAATAGGGAGTTATAATGAAACATGATTTACAACCTTAATTACAGTGATCACAGCTGAGGGATCTAAAGGACTGGACTTTTTGCATAATGCTCCGTCTAAACTATTTAAGTGATCCTTCAGCAAAGAAAACAAGAGTGCAACAGGAATACTTTGGAAGGGTTCATGTGCTGGTGCGCAGCACAGCAGCAGACTATGTTAAAGTATCAGTCGCCGTGAAGGGAAATTACCATACATATTATCACTTAGACGACAACAACAAGAGAGGACTACATTCATCAACAGCATCCTGAGAGGATCGCAAACATCTTCCATGAGTCTAAAAGAAACATGATTTTCACCTTTGTGATGATGATAAAAAACAATGACGAAAGATCATCTTCGTGAATTTCAATAGCCAGCTGCACAGACAACAAAATTGCTACCTGTCAAAATGTGTTTTGGGTGGGCAAAGGAAACGGGAGTTGTGTGACTGAAACTCGGCAATGAAGTGCTGTCAATATTTTACCAAAGTTCTCCCACTAATATTTCCTCCCTCAGCTTGTGACAAACTCCACATGTAAGCAGAAGCACACGTGCTGCGGAGGGGAGAGATGGGGGAAAATCTATTAATTTGTTTTTCCATTTAAACAGACACATTCTCACAGCTAGGATCAAGAAAGTAGGCAGTGCCACTTGGAAAATTCATATTAAACTACGCTCTGCTGCAAGTGATTATTTTTTATTTCTGAAAAAAATATACTGAGCATATTACAGAGAAACAGTTGTACCTATATTTTAAAGTCCTAACTTTTCAGCCCTGCAACGTTGGCTTAGGAAATAGATTTGGCCTGAAATTTTCTAGATTTATTCAGAAGGCAAAGAAGAATATTTCTGCGAAGTCTGAAGAAGATTCATTAAGCCACTTTTGAGTTACAGGTCATTTCACAATTTAACCATGTTTAACTTTGGTCACCCTCTATCTCAAAACTAGCTTGTTGCTACCCCTGCAAACTTTCCATATTCTTAAATCTGCCTGAAAATTCATACACCAGAAAACAGTTTGTAAGTAAATACAGTTACTGATTATCTCCACCGTGGGTAGTTTAGGTGCCCAATACCGCTCCCATTGATTTCAATGGGAGGTATGGGGACTATCCTGTTTCCACTGTTGAATACAGAAGGTTTCTACCACTGACTTCAGTGGGAGCAGGACTGGGCACTACTTGTTTATGAGCATGTTGCCCTCTGTTGGCTGGTTGCACCTTAGAATATAAAGGATAATCTATAGCTAACAGATGTTCCTTTAGCTCAAGGTGGAAAATCTGTTTTGGAACTAGGTTTCTACTCCCAGCTCTGCAAGCATGCAAGGTTGCTATGGATAATTAGAAGCGGAGGCTGCAGTCAGAGTCCAACTACAATGCAGTTGTTAATTACAAGGAAAAAGAAAAATCATGCTTCCAAATGTTTAGGGTTAAGTCCTTCTGACAACTAGAATTTGTCCTGATAATTATGAACAAGTCAAACATTTTTTGAAATTAAAGGACTTTAAAATGGCTCCTTTTTGATGTTTTTGTGAAACCTCTAACATTGATGCTATTCAATTTTTCATTTTCTTATGTTACAGTGCTCAGGTTTTATAAATTAGGCAAAAGGCAAATACATTTGTCACTTAACACCTTAACTGTTTTTTTGATACTAAAGTTATTTGTTCTTGGATTGACAGCCGAACACGGTGCTCAGCTGCAGGGATTTGAACTGTGGTTGGGAGTTTTGGACATCTTCCTCCAGGAAGTTTTTGAAAACACCTGCCGTTTTGTCTCAATCTGCGCCATTTCCACAGCAAAATAAATTGCTCCTCAGGAGTATTTTTATGAATTCTGGGGAGAAGTCATCTCTGGCAGGGGTGATTTAGTGGTAGCCAGAGAGCAGCGACTCTGAATCCCTAATCTGTACTAATGCCTAAACATGTGAATCATCATAATACTCCCATGGCATTGACTGAGGCAGATCTTGTCTTTCTGGGTTTCCCACAAATTTCAACTCAGCGGTAGTCATTGTAAGCCTTCTTTGGCATGCAAAGAGTAGTCACTGGTCCCATGTTTCTCAGCTGGAAAAAGATAGAATACAATAGACCAGGATCACATCTCTGCATTTCCTGCACTTTCTAGATGTCATTCTGAATGCCCCCCTATTTGCACCTGCTGTGCTCAGAATCCCCAAAATTCAGACAAACCAGGCTAGAATCAATTAAATTGCAGCAGGCATGTATGGTGCATTTATGCAGAGATGTATGATCTAGATCAGGCTGCCAGCATTTTTTGATCAAACCTAAGCAATCTAACGTATGTTCCAGGGTCCTTTCAATGGCTTCTCAGTCGCCAGACTCTGTTAATTTCTATGCCCTTCCACAGAATTTGATGGAGTCATACCTAGAAGGAACTAATAGAGAGAGCTGACTGGAGGATGGCAATTCTGTTCATGGCATTGTTAGCAGTTTTTTTTTCGTTTGGGTTTTTTTTTTTGGGGGGGGGGGGGGGGTTGTTCCACAGTAGAACAAAAATCTTTCAAATATTTTGGCAAAAATGGAATTGCTTTAAAGTATCTATCTTCAGATCAAAACCTTGAGGTGTTCATGTGGGGAGGCTGATCTGGCAGGTTCGAGTCCCTGATTCTGATCTCATTTTGATCTGGGATGAGAAACTCCTCTTCTCTGAATCAGGCAGAACAGGGACTTGAACATGGGTTTCCTACCTCCTATGCCAATGCCCTCACCACCCTAGCGAATGACAGAGTCAGTCTGTCCTCTCCCTGCCTTCCAATGAAAATTTTGTCAAACCAATACACCTCCACAAAGCATTTCAGCTTCACTGAAACGGCATAGTTTGACAAATTTTCATTTTGTCAAAAATATTTCAACTAGCGCTCCTAGTAGTTTAGAATCTAAATATGTTTGGGAGAGATAAGGTGTAAGAAGGGAGCAGGGAAGGGTGAGATGATAAAAGGAGTAGAACGGGGAGATGGTAGACGGGAGAAGCTGAATGTTTCAAAGTCTGATGCTATTTAGACTGGGAGAACAGCATGGCTGCTTCCACTCCGCTTTGAACTGCACCAGGATTACCTGAATCCAAGAAGGATGGCAGTCGCTATTACCAGGGCAGAGAATGAAAGAGCATATCCAATGGTGTAGATGACCGACACGTAGAGGAGTTGTTCCTCTGGTGCGTCCTGACAGCATAGAAGGAAAGAAAAGACAGCACTCATTGGACCTGTTTCTCTCCTCCCATCTCCCCATCACCTTCCCGCCAACCCTACTTTGATGAAACCTACTATTTTTCCACCCCTTTATTAGGTGCTCAGAGGCCCACATTACAAATCAGAATCTTCCACTTTTCACATTCCTCAAGACAAACAAAAATCCCACCCCAACTTCCCATTCAAATACAAGGGCTTTGAAGCAAGTCCAGAAAGTCAATAAAATGGGGCTATTGCAGAACAAGGCTGAAGGGAGTGGAGAAAGGAGTGAATTCCAAATGCAAGGAACACTGTCCTTCCTATCTAGATTGCCATACAGACAGACACATCAACACATTAGTTCTGCAACAGCAGATAAAATTTCTGAAGCCAGCATTTTCAACCGGGGATGCCTAAAGGTATATTCCTTAATGCCATATTTAGTGGCTCCTTTCATACCCAAGTTTGAAAATTTTGGTACATATCTTGGGGAGAAAAGATTTTTGTAGAACATACAATAGATAAGAGATAGGCCTGAATCATGATGTTTGGGTTGTGGGGCAGGATTTAGATCCTGCATTCTGATTCTGGCTCACCTCTAATCACAAACCTATTTCCAAGACTCATCCATTTTATTTTTCCACTTTGGATTGATGACACTACAATTACTGAGCAATGTGCACTGTGCTATACCAAAGACGACACTCTCCCAGCTTCAGAAATAGGTAAAACCATTCACAGGCACACAGCACAGCATGTGAGGATTCTGACTGAGTGCAGAGGCCATCGCTGACAGGTTTTGTGGAATAATAGTGTTTTAAAAGGAAGGATTTGAAGACTGCTTAGTCCAGGAGGAGAGACTGTCAGGGTCACAGCCTGGCACAACTTCTGAGACTCAACAGTTTGAAACATCAACGCAGCCCAAACTGATGTTTAATGTTTAAAGGACATGATGCCTTCTCTCTCATCTTGGAGGATGTTACATTAAAACAAACCTTAGAGTGATGGCAAAACACTATTTCCTTGTGATCTTTGTGCAGAGCCTCCCTCAGACATTCCTAGCGGGTTTGTGTTTGGGGGATGCCCACAACACGACACAGTGATTTTTACTCAAACTAAACCCCCTGTAGTTGGATACATGTTGTGATAATTGGGCCTAAAAATTTAACCTAATTGTGAGCTCAACTGTAAAAAGTACATAAAAGTTCATAAGATGTCACAATAACCTATAACACCACGTACTGATGGGAAAAGGTATCAAAGGGAGACAGAAGGATTGAATTAGTCCAAACAAAAAAAGCATACCAATATAACTCAAGGATGTGTTAAGATCATACCTGGTAAACAAGAAAAGCATGGAACCAAAAATCTGAACCAAAACTCATGTTTCAGAAACTATGCCTAACTCGTGGACAAAATAATGAGGGGATAGGCTATTCCACCCACCATTCCCTTGGTGGGGTCCTTAAGAAAGAGACTTTGGGAAGAAAAATGAGCTACTGGAGTGAGCTTCACCATCACCGTCACCACCTCCTGGGACCCCATGCCTTCATTCTCCTGATCCTGAGAGAGATCCTGACCAGACTGGGTTTCAGAGAAAGACTCAGATGACACTGCCACCCTTACCAGCTCCAGCTGAGTCCCAAACACCATCTGATATGAAACAGGATCGGACTTTAACATAAGACCATAAGAAAGGCCATATTGGGTCAGACCAAAGGTCCATCTAGCCCAGTATTGGCCAATGTCAGATGCTTCAGAGGGAATGAACAGAACAGGTAATCATCAAATAATCCATCCCTTGTCACCCATTCCCAGCTTCTGGCAAAACTGAGGCTAGGGACACCATCCCTGCCCATCCTGGCTAAAAGTCACTGGTTGACCTATCCTCCATGAACTTGTATCTAGTTCTTTTTTGAACCCTGTTACAGTCTTGGCCTTCACAACATTCTCTGCCAAGAAGTTCCACAGGTTGACCGTGTATTGTGTGAAGAAATACTTCTTTTTGTTTGTTTAAATCTGCTGCCTATTAATTGAATTTGGTAACCACTAGTTTGTGTGTTATGAGAAGGAGTAAATAACACTTCCTTATTTACTTTCTCCACACCAGTCATGATTTTATAGCCCTCTATCATATCCCCCTTAGTTGCCTCCTTTCCAAGCTGAAAAGTCCCAGTCTTTTTAAGCTCTCCTCATATGGAAGCTGTTCCATACCCCTAATCATTTTTGTTGCCCTTTTCTGAACCTTTTCCAGTTCCATTATATCTTTTTTTGAGATGGGGTGACCACATCTGCACATAGTATTCAAGATGTGGGCGTACCATGGATTTATACAGAGACACTATGATATTTTCTGTCTTGTTATCTATCCCTTTCTTAAGGATTCCCAACAACAGCAGCAGCAGCAGCAGCTCCAGCCCATCTCAACTAACTTCTTCTTTTTTCCCCAGAAGGACTGTTATTACAATCTCTGATACCCTCTAAGAGTGCCAAACAAGAGGGTTTTTCCTTCTAAACACTCTCCAGCTACAGAGAAAGGGAACAAGGGATGTTGTTAAAATAAAAGTCTTACTTAATACGTTACATTTCAAATGCCTTAATTGCTTTTCCTTCTTCTCTTTATCTCCAATAAGAGGTAAAAATGATTTTTAATTATGTGTTTGCCAGGGTATTAAGCAGACTGAGGTCTCTGCAAACCAAACCCACACCTTCTTTAAACACAGTTTAATGTTGGACATTGACTGGGTTAACACCTTTAGCCCATATATTCCATCTACATTAATACAAATGCATAAACATATCTGAAAAGCAAGCAATTAGGAGTTCTGCATCTGCTAAAGTGAAAAATAGAAAGAAACATGGCAAGCAATTTCCATATCAGGAGGTGACACAGTGTATTTAGGGTTTAACATAATTGCCCCCTGAAGCACTGTATTTTATGGAAATGAGATATGTATCAAATGGCCAAGTGCTGCCAAAAGGCATTTGTCTGCTTAGCAGCTCTCAACATATAGTTAAGGAAGAAGCCTTAAACTGCAAGTGGAATAAAAAATGACCAGGCATGCAGTCTGTGTTAGGCTAAAGCTCTCTTGATGCCACAGAGCTTTGAAGGAGTGGGACAAGGGGTGGGGCTGCAAGTTAGGGGATTGCTTACATTTCCTAAACTTTCCTTCAGATATGTTGAATTTCTCTTCTTCCCTTTCACAGCCCTTTCCAATTTACAATCTTCCTGCTCCCTATGAAGGGTTGTGGCATTGCAGAACAGGGAATTCTAGGAGAACAGGAACCCCTGACAGTTTTGGGCATCTCCTATATCTGAATCGTTTGTCCGTGTCTATACTAGAGCACGGAGCTCCTTGAGACAGGGACTGTGCACTCAATAAATAGGTCAGAGGCAAAGGGCTAGTCCTATAGCATGTTGAGAGCTCTTAACTTCTCCCAAGGTCTAGTGCATTACAGCCAGGAAGTGAAATTGACCAGTCTAACTTTGCTGACCAAGTTCAGCTAAAGTAGACAAAGAGCATAAATCATAGAAATGTAGGACTGGAAGGGACCTCAATAGTTCATCGAGTCCAGTCCCCTGCATTGAGGCAGGAACAAGTATTATCAGACCATCCCAGACAGTTGTTTGTCTAATTTGTTCTTAAAAACCATGGAGATTCCACAACCTCCCTAGGCAATTTGTTAACTATACAGAAGAAGTTTTTCCTAATGTCAATCCTAAATCTCAATTTAAGCCCATTACTTCTTGTCCTGTCCTCAGTGGCTAAGGAGAAAAATTTATCACTTTCCTCTCTATAACAACCTTTTACATGCTTGAAGAGTGTTATGTCCCCCCTCAGTCTTCCCTTCTCCAGACTAAACAAACAAGGTTTTTTCAATCTTTTCTCGTAGGTCATGTTTTCTAGACCTTTACTCATTTTTGTTGCTCTCTTCTGGACTTTCTCCAATTTGTCCACATCTTTCCTGACATGTGGCACCCAGAACTGGACACAATACTCCAGTGGAGGCCTTATCAGTGCCGAATAAAGGTGGAAGAATTACTTCTCAGGTCTTGCTTACAATATTCCTGCTAATACATCCCAGAATGATGCATGGTTTTTTTGCAACAGTATTACATTGTTGACTCATATTTAGTTTGTGAGCCACTATAACTCCCAACTCCTTTTGTGCAGTACTCCTTTCTAGGCAGTCATTTCCCATTTTGTATTTGTAAAACTGATTATTCCTTCCTAAGTGTAATACTTTGCACTTGTCCTTATTGAATTTCATCCTGTTTAATTCAGACATTTTCTCCAGTTTGCCAGGGTCATTCTGAATTCTAATCCTGTCCTCCAAAGTGCTTGGAACCCCTTCCAGCTTGGTACCATCTGCCAACTTTATAAGAGCACTCTCTATCTATGCTGTTATCCAAATCATTTATGAAGATGTTGAATAGAAGGAGACCTAAGACAGATCCCTGCAAGAACCACTCAATATGCTCTTCTACCTCGATTGTGGCTCACTGATTACTACTCTCTGAGTACAGTTTTCCAGCTAGTTGTTCACCAACCTTATAGTGGTTCATCTAAGCTAGGATTCTCTAGTTTGTTTACAAGATGGTCATGTGAGACAGTATCAAAGGCTTACTAAAGTTGAGATATATCACATCTACTGCTTCCCTCCTATTCACAAGGCTTGATACCCTGTCAGAGAAGGATATTAGGTTGATTTGACATGATTTGTTCTTGAGAAATCCATGTTGATTGTTATTTCTTTATTTTCTTCTAGGTGCTTAACAGATTGATTATTTGCTCCATTACCATTCTGGGTACCAAAGTTAAACTGACCAGTTTATAATTCCCTGGGCTGTCCTTATTCCCTTTTTTTAATAGACAGATACTAGATTTGCCCTTTTCTAGTCCCCTGGGATCTCTCCCATCCTCCACAAGTTCTCAAAGATAACAGCTAATGGCTCAGAGATCTCTTCAGCCAGTTCCTTAAGTAGTCTAGCATGTACTTCATCAGGCCCTACCAGCTTGAAGACATCTAACTTATCTAAGTAATTCTTCACTTGTTCACTTCCTATTTTAGCCTCAGATCCTACCCCATTTACACTGATCATAATCATAGAATCATAGAATATCAGGGTTGGAAGGGACCTCAGGAGGTCATCTAGTCCAACCCCCTGCTCAAAGCAGGACCAATCCCCAACTAAATCATCCCAGCCAGGGCTTTGTCAAGCCTGACCTTAAAAACTTATAAGGAAGGAGATTCCACCACCTCCCTGATGTTGCTATATTTGTCATCCAATCATTGCTAACTTTTTTAGTGAAAACAAAGGCATTTGGCCATTGCTATGTTTTCTGTTCTCTTTCTTTCCTTATTAAATAATGGGCCTACCCTGTCCTTGGTCTTCCTCTTGCTTCTCATGTATTTGTAAAATGTTTTCTTCTTACTCTTTATATCCCTAGCTAGTTTAATCTATTTTTTTGCCTTGGTCTTTCTAATATTGTCCCTACATGCTTGTGGTGTTGTTTTTTATATTCATCCTTGGACCTAGTTTCCATTTTTTGAATGACTCTTTAGTTTCAGGTCACTGAAGGTCTCCTGGTTAAGCCAAGGTGGCCTCTTACCATACTTCTTAACTTTCCTATGCATTGGTATCATTTGCTTTTTGTGCCCTTAATAACGTCTCTTCAAAAAAATACGAATGCTCACTGGGGCCAGTTAGAGAGATCAGGTTGAAAAGGCTGATTTCAGTAGGAATAATATTTAAGTGTTGACTTATTACAGTTTTTTATAGGCAAAACCTCTTCCCCTTACCCCATCTGATGCCTCACATTCAGAAATGTTCTTCCATGGCAGGGTGGAATTCTCCTTCAGCAGCCAAGTGCCCTCAGGAGTGCAGAAACGGTAAACTTGTCCATGGAGCACTGCCAACGACAAGGAGGGAAAGAACACAGACTTACAGGGGAGAAGAACAGAACAACTGCGAAGCTTAGCATAACCTCTCCCCTCACCTGTCACCTTATTACAGCTGTTCTTCACCTTGCTCCTTTCCTGTAACAAACACTTCAGTTCATTCATTCTCACAGCCAACTGTGTATGGCTTCCAAGAACAACATTACAAAAAGTACTCCAAAGAGCACTCCAACTGTTCAGCAGCAGCAGCAGCAACCCACAGAGTTTGTGGCTGAAAACAAACCTCTGTTTGGTGAGAAAACTGCATGTATTTTGTTAGGAGAAGAAATGGATCTAAACTGAATGCCCAGATTCAAACACCCCAGAACTTTAGGAAAGTTTGATCCTGAACTTTGTGACTTAAGCTCATCTGTAGGAGGTATGCATATGTGCAGGTTCCTGCCAAAGTCTCCCTGTAAGCTGAGCCATTACAAAAGGCAAAGTTCCCTTACCAGGAATGTAAGCAAATACCCATATTTGCTCAGGAGATGGAGGAACACAAAGACCACATATACCCTCCTCTCTTTGCCTATACTAGTCCCAAAATTAGTAAGAGTGGTAACAGGGAACACTCAAGAAGGGTATACAAAGATGAGCACACAAAAATGTGTATGCTTGGACAAACCTCTGCTCTAAAAATTGAGCACAAATCTCTCTAAGCTTCCCACACATTTTTTACTCACAGAAAGAGAGTAAAACCAACAACAAATCAAGAGCCCTTTAGAGGCTGTTAGAAGTCTAGTGCTACGAAAAGAGAAACGATTAAAAGGCATAAAATAAAACAGAACTATACTGAACCAGCAAAATAAAAGTAGGCAGAGTGGGGAGCTTTCAGATACATTGTAGTACAGGGAACTTTGTGCTGGTAAAAGTCTTATCCATGTATTTAGAATATACTTTCTCATTATGGTATGCAAACATGCTGGAGACTCAACACTTATCCACAAAACAGGTACAGCAGCAGTTCAAACTGCTTCCCAAACACTGTAGCTTGCTAACATGCCTCAGCCTCAATCTAAACCACCTCTTGGTTGAGAAGGTACCATAGTTAGATCACCATGGCCAATTCAGCTCCTGCCCTTTGCTGAGACAGCAGTGTGACATGGACACGTACCCACTAGAAACTGACCTGAGAGCATTCATTCATTTTACATAAGTCATCAAAAAGTCTTTTTATTACAGCTTTCACTATCAATTTGATCCGGATTGAACCTATATCCTGTTGCTAATATACCGAGCCAACCAGTTTCCTGCTTACTACAAATTTGAGCAGATCGAAACTCTAAATTTCTGTTCTGTGGGAAATTCTGACATTTAAAAAAAGAAAGTTAAGTTCCAAATTGGAAAATAAAGTCAACATTTTCTGTAAAACAAAATTAACAAAAACAAATAATTTGGGGTTAATCAAAGTGTTCTGATAAAACCAAAATGTTTCAGTTTTCAATTTGATTTTAAAATTAGGTTTTAAAAATTTAAACTTATAATACAAAATAATATAATTAGTGATTGCACTGTAACTACTAATTGCCTTGGTAACTAGTATTGTAATAAGTATTGTAATTGGAAATTGGTATTCTAATTGGCATTATAACTGGTGTTAGGATATAGATATTCAGGCCTGTCTGTAAAGGCATAGCCTCCTAGGAACTTAGGTGTATTCTTATCACTTAGCAAGTTATAGAGGTATAAAAGAAAAAATCAAAATCACTGTCTGCCGGTGTAAGGGCCTTCTCTTACTGTGAGTCTGAGGCCCTGTTCTTAGGCTAAGGCCTCTGGCTAAGCAGCAGAGACAGCCATAAGCTGGGAAGCAAACGGTCACATCTTTACATTCCAAACTAGTCACATTGAAATAAGGTGCTATTCGGCTGTTAGAAATACACTCCTGTCCTGATAACGCCTATCACCTCCAGAGAAAGAGAAGTGCCTAGAAAATGTAAAAGGAAACTTAGTTTGATAGCATCCGGTCTGGCAAGAACTCATTTATCAATAGCTGGGATGTGAAATCCTCATTTCTGTATTGTTCTATCATTGTAGTCCCCATTTCCCATTGTTTGTCTGTATAATTTCTGTCTGGTTCTGTGATTGTTTCTGTCTGCTGTATAATTAATTTTGCTGGGTGTAAACTAATTAAGGCGGTGGGATATAATTGGTTAAATAATCATGTTACAATATGTTAGGATTGGTTAGTTAAATTTCAGTAAAATGATTGGTTAAGGTATAGCTAAGCAGAACTCAAGTTTTACTATATAGTCTACAGTCAATCAGGAAGTGTGTGGGTGGGGAAATTGGAATCATGTTTTGCTAAGGGGGGCAGGGAATGGGAACAGGGACACAGTTAAGGCTCTGTAGTCTCATAGCTGGGAAGGGGGACACTAAGGAAGGAAACCGGAATCATGCTTGGTGGAAGTTCACCCCAATAAATATCGAATTGTTTGCACCTTTGGACTTCGGGTATTGTGGCTCTCTGTTCATGCGAGAAGGACCAGGGAAGTGAGTGGGTGAAGGAATAAACCCCCTAACAACTGGTAGTGAAATTGGTAACTGGTTTGCTTGTTGGTAATTGGTGTTCCATAATAGGTAATTGGTTTAGTACTTTGTTTTTAGTATTATAGTTATATTATTCTATAAAATTATAAGCTCGTAGAGAATTTTCTTCAGTTAGTGTGTGTCTGTGTCTACAAAAGAAAGAAAGAGAGGAGGCCTGTGCATATAATATATTTCATATTCATTAACCACTTTATTTGAATGCTTCATCATTCACTCCCTTTATTTATAACCTGTGAAAACTGTAGGGGATGTTGCTGCATTGCCAGAGATTGCTTGTTAGGTGAACAGTAGTGAACATAAAGGGTTAATTTTCCTCAAGATTTAGTGGATGACACATTAGGCAGCTGAATTGCTGCAGAGAACATTAATGTTAGAGCCACTAAATCTACTCCAGAAGTCAGAATAATGGCGGAAATAAAGGAAAGCTTTGAAATCTACCCAGAATGCGTTAGTAACCTTGGACTGAAATGAAAGGCCAGCTTAGCAGTTCACCTTTAAGATGCTACAAGTTCATCTTTAAAAGAATACAAAACAAAATGCAGCAATAAGCCAATCTGGACCATACGACCCTTCATACTTCAGCTGCAGTGTGTCTACCTCACTGGCTTATTGTAAAACTCTCTACCCAAACCATTTACAAGATGAGGAGTTAAAATGTGGGGTGACCAAGATGCATCCACAGGCCAAAGGAGGCTAAGGAGTCCAACAAAGAAGCCCAGGTGCCTCTAGTTTTTAATACCACATGCTGGGGGATGCAGAGTCTATGAAACCAAGTCTGTAATGATCAGCCTTGACCCAAAGCAAAATATACTATCTTTTAAAAAAAGCTAGATCTAAATGACAGTCCCTTATTGCTTCTTCAGGATCCAGTTTTTTTGTACTATAATTAATTATATAGAATTTAAGATAAATAAGGGTATGTCTACATTGCAGCTGGGAACACACTAAAAAAATAGAAGTATGGACATTTGTGGCACTGGTGGTGGCATGGGCTAGTTGCCTGCATCCAAGCTCACGCACACCTCTGAACCCAAACTCAGGAGGCTACCTGGATGGGCCACTCATACCACAACGTACACACTAGCTCAAGCAGAGCTCATGTGAATCTGCCTACCCAGGTTGAGGAATCACACTTCTGAACTGCAGAGTAGGCCTTTCATTATTTCAACCCCCATTAAGAATGTAACATTCTAGAATTACCCAGTTTCATTAATTCCCAATGTTCTGGAAAAGGTAACAGTTTTCTCTTGAAGGCAGCAGTGACTCTGTAGTGAATGAATACCAACAGAATGATTTGCTGCCACAGATTGACTGTTCCCTGATCAAGTGACTTGACCTTCAATGGGGAAGGCAATGCATTTTAATGGAGGAGTTTCTCCTCCTCTGAAGAGCTCATCTCAGCTCATTCCTAGCTGAGTTTATCATTCAAGGTAGCCTGAGCACATAGCTCGCTCGATTATGCGGTCAGTTCTTTGCTGGGGAAGTTAATGTTTAAATGTCTCACTCCCAGACTTGGTTTTCTTTACAACAAACATGTACTAAGTCCAGGAATCTTACATTTGGCTTTGAAGTACAAACTGCAGCTGGCAGCATGAAACCCATGAGCAGTCTCAACTTGTTGGGGAAGGGGGGGTTCCAGCTTTTCCTGCAAACCTATTTACCCAGCTATATATTTGCAGTAGGTTCATCACCACAGTATCCTAAATTATATTCTTAGCTCCTGCACCAGGGATATTTAAAACTGGGCTGAACAGATGCGGGGGAACAATCTTCCACTGGTCAACAGAGGTGCAACTGATCATATAACCAATCAGGAATTTCCCCATCACGTATTTCTGGCTTTAAATATCCAGTAAGCATGTGTTTTCCCCTGAATCTTGTATTCTATTTACAATACACAGACAGAATAAAGTTCTGCTCCGAAGGGGAGGGCGACAGGCAGAAAGGAATCGTGCTGCATAATCAAGAGGAGGTTGCTGTGGATAAAAGGTAGCAGAGCCTCCTCCACAGTTCCGTGGAGCTCCATGCTGGAACTTTCTCCGTTCTATGTAAGCTTCTAACTGTACTAACCCTGTTCCCCATAAATGGCACATCAAACTCCCTTTATGTCAGGATGCAGTTTTGGTTCCTCAGTGGATCTTGTATTTTATATGTGCAGACAATATTTATTATTATACTCAAAAACTACATTAAGAACATTAAAGATAGAAAGTCAAGCACTTCAAAATTAGGAAATGCCAGCATTAAGATTGCCAATGCAAAGTTTTAATTCAGCCCCCTTGTCCATATATCATCATCATACAATTTTTAATTACACGATCATTCACTATTTTTCCCACAAGGCCCTCCCTGCCTCATTCAGTGCCCAGGATGATTAGTGCTCACAAAATAGGTCGCTATTCCATATTTCTTTTATCCTTACAAC